CTTTACTAATCACTGTCACTGTCCTCCCATTGTTCATCGATTTGCTCGAGCGGGCCCAGTGACGTCTCCATTGGAGACTTTGTTGTTACTGTGTTTGGCATATCGAATACATCACGGGTAGCTTGCCAGGCTCTCTGAGAAGGGCGGAGGAATCGAACTCGGGTCGGACATATTGACTGCGTGCAAGGCAAACGCCCTACCGCTTTGCTATCGCTCCAGCCCTCACTTTACTAAGAAAAAGGTAAAGTTTACCCCCTACATAAAGCTGATCCAGAGAAGACTCCAGGGTTCTCTGGAGAAGTAATTTCACCCACAAGGCCACCAAGTTCTTGAACATTGGTGGAAGCAGGGTCTGAAGAGTGAGTGGGCAACCAGTGCTGATGGCTCTAAATTTCTGATGCACTACCAGTAGAAGTAGAAGAACGTTTCTCACTTCTCAGCTCTCCTTTATAAAGTGTATTTTCTGTGGGGGAAACAGTCCTTTCTTCAAAGAACTCTTAATTCCCTGGGATTAAAGCTCAGTGGCCTACTCCCAGGCATTAACACCCACTCATTTGCAAATTGGCAAACTGATTCTCCCACAAAGTAGAAAAAGGCTCAATTCAGGGTTTAAAGAAAACAATAGAGTCCATTTAACTAAGCCAACTTTTAATAAACTCAAAATAGTGCACATCAAAAATAAATTAATAGAGCAGCCTTTCAGTTTCAATGCATGCTTTCTTTTTCAGGTAGCATCTGCTAACTCTGTAGGATGATGCCTGAGATGATTACTGAACTAGGGCAAAAATATTCATTGGAATTTTACAAATGGCAACACTTTTGTATATGGGTCAACTTTCAGTATTTGGAGGAGCTGCAGGCGGAACCTTCCATTGCCTGGTAAATTAAAAGAAAGAGATAGGAGAGAAAAACTTCGGCTGAGCTTGCCTTAAACTCTCTGTACTGGGGCTCTTCTAGGATTTAGGGATGGTTCGAATTGTATCAAAAGTTTTATCTGTACCTTAAATGGGACACAGAGCAATGGGTCATGGATCTCAGTGGGAGATTTTGCTTTTGGATTCTGACTCCCAGTGGCACCCCTCCCACTCACCTTCATCCTGTGAAGAGAGAGGAGTGTTGGAAAGTAGAGGGGGACAAAAGGAGATGGGGCAGCAGAATTACCAGGGAAAAAGAAGGAGCCTCCTACCTTTTTTTTTTTTATCAGAGCAAGTATCAAATACTATTTGGCCCAAGTACATTTTGTCCAGTTCTGTTTCTTATGCAAATTCAACACCCAGAGACTAGCCTTCCACAAAAAGTTGACTCTGCTTCCCAACTTCATTCATTTTGCCCCTGAAAGGAGTATCATGTACCTGATTGTAAGCAGGGTCCCCTCTCTAAGAAACTGTAGGCGAGATCTTATCATGATCAGGCTTCTCTAGAAATCAAAAGCAGCTGCTCTTTGTTAAGGCAGACTTGTAAAGGGAGCCACATTCCCATTAGAAAAGGTCCTGAGTTCATCTGGGAACATGATGGATGGCTCCTTCCAGCCTGAGAATCCCATCCTCACAGGAACCAGTGCATGGCTGTGCACCTTTATGGTACATAGTTAGTACCTACTATGTGCCAGGTACTAAGTGAAGCAACTTCCATGAATAATTTCACTAGGACCTGCTCTAGATGACTAGAATCCTGATTTTTACACATTTGAAAACTCAAACTTGAAAGGGTCAAGTGACTTACTCCAAATCAAAAACTGGAAATATGGCAGAGCCATCTCCTGCCTCCGCTGCCCAGACTCTTAATGACAAATAGACAAAATTCAGCATCAGTGACAAAAATGTATACTTCCAGCACTGACTCACTCCCAAGTGGAACAAAGCCTATGACAAAATTCTTCTCTGATTTCCTGCCTCTACTAAGACAGATGAGCCACAGCTGTGACAGTATAGTCACATCCCATTTAATGCGCTGAGTAATCATGTCACAGACATTATTTGATCTCTTCAGGAGAGGAGAAAGTTAAAGAGCATTGAAGCCAAGTAGTCAGTTGGCCAAGAACACAAAGAACACCAGAACTCATGGTGGAGATGGGCATTTGCTTTCAGGCCAGCAACAGAGTCAGCCTAGAGGTCCTCCAGACATCACCATGCAGAGACAAGAGAGCTGTTACTTCTGCACCAGTACTTCCTAGGAGGCCAGTCTGTACTCTAGGTCTGAGAGAAAAGCATGGTGTTGACCTGCCTGGGCCCGGGTCAAGGTTGACTGAAAGAAGAGCATGCTTGAAGATACGTGAAAAGCATCTTGAAATAGAAACCAACTACCAACACGCACGGAAGAGCACTATCAATATTTATCAACAGTGGCATCCACCAGTGATGAATGGTTGTTTGTAATGGGTCAGAAATGACATTCCTTATAGAACTATCATGTTTCAGGCCTTTAAGGTTTGACTGACTTGTTTCTTCTGCAAGCATTTTGGTTCTCATCCCCCCACCTCTGACTCCCATTTCAAACACAGGCTTCCATCATGTTGTACATCGTCATCTATCCAACCACATCCCAGCTCTGCTGATTTGCACACATCTTCCCAGGTACAGTGCCTGGTAAACTCACAGGAGATCAATAAGTAAAGTTTTATAAGAAAAAGAGGAAGAAGCATAGAGTTAATGCAGAATCCTAGAAAAGAGAAAGACATAATTTACATATATCCATGAGATTCAAGACCATTTTTTTCTATTCAGAAAAGAACAGATTTAAGTGTCTATTCCCTGTTCTGAATAGAAAAAATGGTCTTGAATGAACTATAGGAACCAGTACCAATATCCCTAATGTATGCTGGACACCCTAATCTCTATCCCTGTCTGGTAGTAGTAATAGTTGTCAATAATAATAATGATGATGATGGTCTTCTCTTAATCTCTTTTGCCCATTTGGCTTTTATAAATAAAATATATCATTTTATGTGGACACATGGTCATATTTTTGAAGAAAAGCAAGCAATTCAGAGACATTTTCATATTGCCAGAAATTGTATGCTGTCTTCTTATGTAATTTGTTTCTCTAGTATTGTTCAGTTTATCAGTCTTCATATAATTACTCTTCCCTATTCTGTGAGGTAATCCCAGGCAATAGATTGGCAATAGACAATCCCATTTAAAAAAGAGAAAACTGGGTAATGGAAACTTTTTTTTGTTGTTTGTTTTATTTTTTTTATTTTTATTTTTATTTTTTTATTTATTTATTGAATCACTGTGGGAAAGGTTACAAAGCTTTCAGGTTTATGTCTCAGTCATGCAAATATCAAACACATTTCCCTTTACCAATACTTATTTTTTACCATGAAGAACCCCAATAAAACCCCACCCTCCACCCCTCCCCGTCCCTGTGAGGCAGATGAATTCTAGTTAACACTCTATCTGCTTTGATTAGATTCATTGTTTCAATAAAAGATTCACCACTATTATTTAGAGTTTATTCCCCCCCCCCCCCCAAATCAGACATGCTGAAAAAGCATTGTGAAGTGATTTGCTTTCTACAGCTGGGTTCAAGAATTAAATGTTGGTTTTGGATTTCTGCTATTTTACCTATTGACCCTGGAAGTATGGAAACTTTTTTAAAGTTGTCATGTGGTGATTTCTTCTATTCTAAGATACCCTCATTTGTAAGACTTCCCATCAATTTAACAAAACCAAAAATTAAAGTGAAACATTGTTTTTCTTTATTAAGTTTCTGGATGCTAAAAACGACCAATGAATACATTTAGAAACTTCCCAGGAACAATTTTATCTACTATTTTAGGTAGGCTTCTGTTTGCTGCTAAGGACTGACTCCTAAGTTAGCCTTTCGAAGTTTCTTCTTCCTATAGCCTTCATCTGGAAGATGAGGAAGACTTTGGAAAGCCTAAAGGTCTATCACCTAGAGTGAGAAAATTTTTATTTAACTTCTGGATGAAACTCAAGAATTTATAAGATTATCTTAAAATATTAGAAGAAAAATCTTGAACATGTTGACATGCAGACAAACAGCGGATTCTTTTGTTTGCATCTCAGATCTAACACTGGTAATGCATCCCCTTAAATTCAAACTTAAATGCTAGGGTTGTACCTCAGTGATAGAGTGCTGCCTTGCATGTCGGAGGTGGGTTTAGCACCCAAGACCACACATACACACACACACACACACACACGCACACACACACACGTGAGAGGTGACATAGGGGCAGTGATGGGGGGTCATGGGCACTTTGGTGGTGGGATGATTGCAATAACTTTGTACATCAATACTACAAAATTTAATGCTACTGTAACCACATTGCCTAAATTATAATATTAAATATAAAAAATTAAAGCAAAGTTAACATAGACTACACATAGAAATAAGAAAGACAAATAGAATAAGACATAAAGAAAAAAAAATGTCCTGGAACTGTATAGAAATTAATTTGCCTTCTAGCAACATCTTGTGTGAATAAGAAAAAAATTCAATTTTTGGTTCTAATCCTGGTTGGAATGATTTGGAAAAAAAAAAAAGCAGGGGCAGGGGGTGTTCCAACTCTGTGAAGTAAAGAAATTAGAAGCTCAGCCCGTAACTGAGCTTCCCATTGGATTATTGTGCACGGTCCCCTTTTCATCCCCCCACGGTGGATAAGGTGTGCTCATTGTCACTTATCTGGAACAGGTTTCTTTTACAGTCTCCGTCTATATAAAGTCAAGCTAGGGCTGGACTGGAGATACGGGAAGCCCCGGAGAGGCAGTGGACACAGTCAGAGAGAATGAAGCAGTCGGGGACATGAACAAACCGCTGTATCCTTGACGCTCCAGGGATAGGAACCCAGCGCTGCCTCTCAGGTCGGATGAGTGAAGGGGGGAGGCGGCAATCTGGATCAGCTTTGGGAGGTCCCCTAAGACCGAATGCGCTTCTTTGTTCTCAGCCTCGATTTTAACTTTATACTCATGTTTCTAACCTAGGGTGACCATAGCTCGGACCCTGGAAGACCGTGACAATTTGGCCAGCTTGGATTGGCCGCCTGGCAAGGACCAGATTCTGGGAAGCAATGGTGATGCGGGCCTTCGTGCTATTGGCCGTCTTTGCGGAAGCTTCTGCAAGATCCTGTACCCCAAATAAAGCAGGTACTGCACTAGAAAGGGAAGTTTCTTGAAGCTTCCCCCGCAAAGCTGAGAGCTGTGTGTGTGTGTGTGTGTGTGTGTGTGTGTGTGTGTGTGTGTGTGTTGTTAGGAACTGAAACATGGTCTCATGCATACAAGGGACCCTCCATGTTGTGAAGTCAAATGCAGAATGCCACTAAGTAGAAGCACTTGTGCTTTCTGATGTCCATCCTAATTTCTCATAGGAAGTAAAACTGTCTGGCATACTCTGGGACTTTAAAAATCAATGAATACTGGGTGAGAGATAGATAAGTAGACATAGATCAAATCTCCACATTTTTTTCCTATTTTCCATTGAACTACTAAATTTCTGTGCCATACTATAAAAAGACTGCTTTAGTATTACATATGATATGAACATTTTAACTTCAGTTGCAGGCTCATTTTCGTGAAATCATTTTTAAAATTAGATTCAATTCTGTTTCACAACTATAGTTCTTTAAAAAGGATCAAGGGGCTGGAGAGATAGCACAGTGGGTAGGGTGTTTGCCTTGCACGCAGCTGGCCCAGGTTCGATTTCCGGCATTCCATATGGTCTCCTGAGCACTGCCAGGAGTAATTCCTGAGTGCAGAGCCAGGAGTAACCCCTGTGCATCGCCGGGTGTGACCCCAAAAAGCAAAAACAAATAAATAAATAAATAAGATCAAATTGAGGGCTGGGACTGTAACTTCATAGAAGGTGTGCCTTGTATTGTGTGAAATCCTGTGTTCTATTCACACAAAATATGTTCAGTTTTAAAGTGGACCATGTTTGAATATATACTAAGCGCAGTATAGATATTGCATGGATAAAGCAAAAACTATCAAAGCAGTGCCTGAGGGTTTAAGGGAAGGACCCCTTCTGGCTCATGAAGAACAGAAGGGGGAGGTTTTAAAGTAACTGCTGTGATTGTGGTGGGAACAAACCCTCTCTCCTCATTTCTTTCATGGACTAATATGGCCACCATACCTGAGATCTAATCCTGCCTGCTTTTCAGATGTCATTCTTGTGTTTTGCTATCCCAAAACCATCATCACCAAGATTCCCGAGTGTCCCTATGGATGGGAAGTCCACCAGCTCGCACTCGGGGGGCTGTGCTACAATGGAATCCATGAGGGAGGCTACTACCAGTTTGTCATCCCAGATTTGTCGCCTAAGAACAAGTCCTATTGTGGAACCCAGTCTGAGGTAGGTCCGGATAGTAAGTTAGTGTGGGAGTCACTAAGGCAAGAGAACCCAAAAAAGGAGATGCTTGCTCCCAGTTTTAACAAAGACTCAGACTTCACCAATTTTCTTTTAAGAAGCAACCCTGGCTCATTTCCTGGGGATGTGTCTTTGCAATTCTCCCCTTCTGTCGCTTCAGAAGAGACACGGCTGCAGCCAGCTAGACCACCAGTCAGGAAAAAAAAAAAAAAGGATTTCCCCACCTCCCTTGCTTGGAGTTCAGACCATAAGCTCATGGGCTGTCATCCTTCCTGGAGATAATAGACACTTGGAAGGGCATTTGAAAGGAGTGACCAATGTGCAATACAATTCTTAATGGGGTCTTTGCAAGAATCCAAGACAAGTCAACAGAATAGAAGGGAAACATCAGGCTGGAAATAGTGCAGTCGGTAAGGCGCTAGCCTGGCACATGCCCAACCCAGGTTTGATCCAGGAATGAGTCTTGAGCACCCCCTTCAAAACCCCACCCTAAAGAGCTATTGGGGCTGGAGAAATAGCACAGTGGGGAGGCACATGCCTTGTTTGCTTCAGACCTGAGTTTGATTCCCAGGCACCCACATGGTCCCCCAAGCCCTACCAGGAGTGAGCACAGAACAGAGAGTAAACTTTGAGTATCACAGAATTCAAATAAATAAATTAAATTAAAAAATGAAAAAGGAAACATGAAGTTCTCACCAGGTATAAAGGATAGTGGAGAGATTTGAGAGCACCAAATTCAGTTACTACTTGAGGTCACAGAACCTTCATTATCATTAAGGGAAATGGGTCTGAGGCCCCTGCTGGCTGGTGTCACTGTTCCCACTGCCTTAACTATACAGAAGCTCAGACCACTTTTAGGGCTCAGAAAATGAGCCTAAAGGCTTCCAGGGCCACTTCCTTTTCCTAACATCCCCACTACGGTTTGCTGGTTTCATGGGAAGAATCACTGTATGACTCACAAAAGCCCCGTCTCTCTGAGTATCCTGATAAAGTGAGCAGAAATCATAAGAGTGACTTTGTAAAGCTCCCTTTTAAAAATTCCTTTTCCCTTCCTTTCCCTTTTCATTGTGTTGCAAGAAACCAGTGTCAAAACTTGGCCACAAAGTTCACACACTTAGTCATAGAGCACACTGGGGATCACATACATATTTTAACTGCAGTGCTCACACATACTCTGTGGTGATGGTAAGGATTCCAACTGGCAGAGCAGCTGGGTTTGGTACAGGGGTTGAGGCCAAGGTTTGAACTAGTAGCCTAAGACATTCAAGGCAGGTATTTGGCCAATACCCCCAAAAAGGTTCTTTGAGTGGAGGTTAAAGATACCTTCAGCTCAAATCATCTGTGATTTCAGAGTCCAACAAGTTAGAGAAAAAGAGTCTCAGGGAAAGTGTTCATGATTAGAAAAATGAGACTAACATTCTAGAAAGGTGAGATAGATGATAGCACACACTACAAATTACTTAGATGGGGAAATGGATGAAAAAGTTGATATGTTGGCCAGAGTGTTAGTACAGCAGGTAGGATGCTGGGTTCTATTCTTAGCACCACATATGGCTCCCTGAGTACTTCCAGGGGTGATTCCTGAACACAGAGTCAGGAGTAAGCCCTGAACAACACCAGGTATGAAACTCATTCCCCCTCCCCCTCAACAACAACAACAACAAAAAAGACTTGATGTTGAGGAATAGAGATTCTTTTAAAAAAATTGTATTTAGGTGCCATGATTTACAAAGCTTTTAATGATCAAGTTACAGAGATTCAATGGCCCAACTTCAGAAACTACCATAAGTTTTAGAATCCCTCCACCAATGACCCATTTACTCCCCCACACCACTGCCTTAGCAAGTTTATATTTTTAATTTCAGTATTATAGTTTGAATCCCATATTTATAATAATGTCTACTCATGGTTTTGATGTACATAGCTACACCACTGAAATGCCCAAAACTCTTGACCAGTGCCCTTGGATTATTACCAGTCACTTCCTCATTCCCTCCCTATCCTCAACTCCCCTTCCTTAGCATTCTTGTTTCTATAATCTCAGGTCACTTGTTTATCGTTATCTGATATCATCCATTCCCTTGACTTGTCACTTGAGAATAGAGATAATTTGGAACTATTATTTTTGTCTGGAATCTCAGTGTATATATGGGTTTCCCCGAAGCAGACAAATATATAATATAGAACGTTTTTATCAATGTTAGTGGAATTGATTAAAACGAACCCATACTAAAAACATTTTTAATAAAATCATCTTGGGGCTGGAGCGATAGCAGGGGCTGGAGCGATAGCACAGCAGTAGGGCGTTTGCCTTGCATGCAGCCAACATGGCCGACCCGAGTTCGATTCCTCTGCCCCTCTCGGAGAGCCCGGCAAGCTACCGAGAGTATCCCGCCCGCACGGCAGAGCCTGGCAAGCTCCCCTTGATGTATTCGATATGCCAAACACAGTAACAACAAAGTCTCCAATGGAGATGTTACTGGGCCCGCTCGAGCAAATCAATGAACAATGGGAGGACAGTGATACAGTGACAGTGATTGTTACTAGAGTCCACAAACACAATATTACCTGTAAAAGTCACTGAGATAAGAGATCTTAGGGGCTGGAGCGATAGCACAGCGGGTAGGGCGTTTGCCTTGCACGCAGCCAACATGGCTGACCCGAGTTCGATTTCTCCGCCCCTCTCGGAGAGCTCGGCAAGCTACTGAGAGTATCTCGCCCACACGGCAGAGCCTGGCAAGCCATCTGTGATGTATTTGATATGCCAAACACAGTAACAACAAAGTCTCCAATAGAGACGTTACTGGGCCCGCTCGAGCAAATGGATGAAAAACAGGGTGACAGTGACAGCGAAAATCATCTCAGACAAAAAGAGTAGGCATGGCTGTCCAGGGCAGATACTGATCTTTCACCCTGGAACTGAGCCACCCTCACCCACCTCTCCCAGAACCCTCATTCCTACCGCGGGACCACCCTAACTTACCTTCTTGCTTTCTCCAGTACAAGCCTCCCATCTACCACTTCTACAGCCACATTGTTTCCAATGATAGCACAGTGGTGGTGAAGAACCAGCCAGTGAACTACTCCTTCTCCTGCACCTACCACTCCACCTACCTGGTGAACCAGGCTGCCTTTGACCAGAGGTAAGCTCAGCTGTGGGGTGGGCAGACGGCCACAGTGCTCTGCAGTCTCTGGCAATCAGGCATGTTTCAGTCCTTATGCAAATTTCTCTCCCCTTTTCAGAGTGGCCACCGTTCACGTGAAGAACGGGAGCATGGGCACATTTGAAAGCCAATTGTCTCTCAACTTCTACACTGTAAGTGGTCTCCATACTGTCCTGTGAGCCTTTCAGGAGATAATGGGCTACTGTCTTACTCTTTCCTGAGCTCTCTGAAGATTCCTCTTCTTGAATTCACCCCTTTAACCACCCCTTAAAGACTAGATGAAAAATTAAGTTCTATTAATAGACTGGATCGAATAGCTGAAAAGTACAAGAGAGATCAAAGGTCAATCTTCCCATTTAATAGACGAAAAATTGAGGCAAATAAAATCCTGTGAGTTGTTGGAGACTGTTAGGGAATAAGAGAGCCAATGTCTAAATCTTAATCAAGATTAATTCCCACTACAATATACTCCAAAGATTTCTGTTTGAGATCTAACTCTTGTTAAAGCACTTAGCACTGAGTAGTAAGTCTGGAGCAGAGATAAAGAGAAAGGTTTGGATTGATCTCCACAGCCCAGCTCTTTGGTCTCTGAATCCTCAGTTAGTGGACTGTGTCTTCAAAGGTGGGCATACTGCCTCTGTTGAAATAAAAATTAAAAGCATGCTTTGGTCTCGCAAAATCAAGGGCTTGGAAGAAACTAAATATGCCATGGTCATTAGCCCAGCTTCCCTTTTGCTTAGGAAAGAGTACTTTGATTTTTCAACCTGTAATTTCCAGAGAGAAGGCACACACAAAGGGGCACTGACTTTGCTGGCTGGGGGAGATGTAGGCTGAAATAGAACCTTGCTGTAGAACTCGAGAACTGGATGGTGACCTTAGAGGTCATCATGTCCAACCTAATCATCTCACAAAGGAAGCAACCATATTACCATGAACACCACTGACCTTGAACTCTTTGAACATGCTTTACTGACCCTGGAAGCTATTTTAACCTCATTGGATTCAGAAGGCGAGAGCTAGAGGAGACTTTAGAAAGCCTCACTCGTTTACAGCTGAGCAGCTAAAGGCTAGACAGAACCAATGAATGGAGTGAAGCTTGAGTTTCATGATTCTTCACTTGCACAAGTTCCTTTAAGTCCCTGGGTCTAATGTTGCATATAAAAATCTTTATTTCTTCTTTTTCTCCTTCTCCTTCTTTCCTTTTCCTCTCCTCAACTTCTTCTCTTTCTCATTCCCTTTCTTCTTCCCTTTCTTTTTCTTCTCCTGCTCCTGCTTCTCCTTCTCCTCCTGCTTCTCCTCCTTCTTCTCCTCCTTCCTTTGGTTCTCTTTCTCCTTCTCCTTTTCCTCCTTCTCCTTCTCTTTCTCCTTCTCCTCCTTCTCCTTCTCCTTCTCCTCCTCCTTCTTCTCCTCCTCCTCTTCCTCCTCCTCCTCGTCCTCCTCCTCCTTCTCCTTCACCTTTCTAAACTATATAACTTTAAGGTCCCATAAAACCTGCATGTGCCCCTGACCATGTGCCATTGGTGGTTAAGTCCTGAGAGAAGAATCCGTGTATCCCTTTGACCTGTAATCAGGGAGGGTAATAGAGGGGGACCGCCAGGTGATGAAAGGTTGGCTAAAGCACTCTAGTGGATGATGAGGTTTGTCTAGCAAGGATAACAGGCTTCTCACAATGACCATCTCAGAGTACATCCTGATGACAGGCTATCTTAACCATTGAGTCCCTGATTAGAAGAGCTTGATTGTTGCTTAACCAGATGGAAATTATAGATAAGATCCTAGGAAGACATTTATTTCTATGAAAGTTGACAATGGAAAGGCACCAGGGTTGTCAAAAATTGTCATCCAGCCATGATCGCTTAAGTTTCTAATCTAACTAAATTTTTTTTTCATTTTGAGGCCACAGTGGGAGTTGTTTAGAGGATACTTCAAGCTCTGTGCTCAGGGGTAACTGCTAGACGTGTTTGACGGACTCTGTACAGTGCTGGAGATTGTCTTAGGGTTGGCTGCATACAAGGCAGGTGCTTTAACTCTTGTACTATATTTCCAATGTCAACCTTAAACATTTTTAAAGAAAAACAAAATTCAAGTTAAGAGGCATGTCCTCAGCATTATTCAGGCTAGTGATAGACTGAGCTAGATGCTTCTTCACATGGTTCTGGAAACAAGGCCTCCCCTGGGGTGCACTGTGACCCTTATAGGACTAACAACGTCAGCAAAAGGGAGCTCCAAAGGAACCACAGAGACTTATGCACTCATTATTTCTCACCACGGGCCTGGTTTCTCATACTTGACTCCAGCACTTGATATTTTTCTTCTCCCTTCTTTCCCTTAGAAAGCATTCTCATGTGTTTCTGAAGCAACAGCTGCTCCCTGCATATATTTCCATCAAATTACCAGGGACAGAGCTGTGCCCTAGATTACACAATGGATTCAATGCACTGTGGATTGCTTAGGATTCCAAGGGCTCCACATACTGGACTCCAGAAGCCCCGATTACTCAGCTGCTTGTCTCTTGTCTCTCTGCCCCTCCCACGCACTTCTGCCAAAGAACCAGGGTTGGTATTCTTGGCAAAAAGTTAATTCAACTCCCAACCAAAACAAAAAAAAATGTGTGTGTGTGTGTGTGTGTGTGTGTGTGTGTGTGTGTGTGTGTGTGTGTGTTGGGGCGGGCTGGTGGGGGGAAGCTAATCAGCTTGAAAAAGTAACTTGTATTGAGGTTAATAAAATATTAACCATCAGTCCACTGGCTTGAAACCTGATTCTGCCACTAACTAGGTGTGTGACTTTGGGCAAGTTAGAGAACCTCATTGGGCTTCCCCCTAAGTATCTTTGATCCCTTAAGTTTACCTTTCTATAAATATGAAAGAAAATTATCTTTACTAAGCACTTAGCACAGAGCCAGGCACTAGGTGAGTTCACAAGAAAGTAATTATTCTTTTGATTCCAAGCTCTGGTCACAGTTAAAGCAGAAATTTGAAAATCCTGAGGCTAAACATCAATGTGAGCATAGGATTTGGCTCAAGTTAGAGGGAAATGAATGAAACACCCTAAGACAGAACAAAGTCAGGAAAGCAAAAACTAAGTCACAGACTCCCTCACTCAGAACAAACCTTGGAGGTGATTAACCTGCCTCTTCCACTTCAAACCCAACATTTTTTAAAAATGACATAATGACAGATGATGCCAAGTATGGGTGGTCTTCTCAGAACTCTAATTGCATCTTTTCTGAGTAAGATTAACTGGATCAATGTCCCATTACAAAGTGGAACTGAGAATTAAATTTTATAATTTAAGCCTGTCGGACAAGTGAGATGAGAGATGACCTAAGTTTCTGGAAAACTCTGAAAGTATATTCTAGGGTAATTATTAGCTTTGGGGAAATTTTTTCTCACCCTTTTCCTATACTGAATCTGTAAAAGCAATCCACAAATCCTTTCACAAGAGCCATGGGGAGATGAGATGTGCTTATCCTAACTTGTGTTGCCAGCTATAGACTCAACCTTTGAGAATGACAGCTAGAGGAAATAATGAGATGACAGTTTTTCAAACTGTTCTTCCATCTTGTTGCATAAAGGAGCAGTTTGAATGCTTTTCTCTGTTTGCATTACTGGACCTGTCAGTAGCTAGACAGTTACACCCTCCAACTGCCGTGTAACCCCAACAACAGCCAGGATCCAGAGATTATCACAACAAGCTCCCAGGAGAGCACAAGGCAGAGTCTCCTACCCTGTGCCTGACTATCCTCGCCAGGGCCCAACAGCTGAAGACCTCCAGGCCCCAGCCAAGGCCATACTGAGGCCACTCTCCACATACTTGGATAAGCCTCAGGCATAACAGAACTGGCAGAGGAACCCAGGTGTGTGGGACCCGGGGCTGAGATCTCCAAGCTTGCACGATTTGGGACTGGACCTGTCAGTAGCTAGACAGTTACACCCTCCAACTGCCGTGTAACCCCAACAACGGCCAGGATCCAGAGATTATCACAACAAGCTCCCGGGAGCGCGTGGCGGCATTCGCGGCTGCGCGACTATTTATTTACTTTTCTCTAAGTTTTCAGGGTACCTTTAAATATCCCACCCACACGGCAGAGCCTGGCAAGTTATCCGTGGTCTATGCCAAATAGACCAAATTGATATGCCAAATCCAGTAATAAATGGATCTCATTCCCCTAACCCTGAATATGGCAGAGTTTGCAGGGACACCAAGACAAATAATCTGAGTAATTCAAGGTGAAGCTATCTGAAAATAAGCCTCTTATTCTCCTGTTATAAAGAAGAGGAGGGAAGACTCATAATAAGCATTGCTTAAATTGCCCAATGAGTAAAGAGAACTGACCATTATATGTATTTTGTTTCAAGGATCAGGGATGTGTCTCAGTGTAGAATACATACATGTGTGAGCTGCTCAGCTTTATTTCCTGCACTATCAAGAAAAAATTGTGTGTTTTAAAAATTAGAACTTGAATCAATGGTGCATATTCTACTTACCACTTTGTAACAGAGTCAGGCCATTCTCATACAAGAAGGGAATTTTCCCAGCATTTCGGTCTGCTGCTGGCTGGTCTCTTAGAGACAGAACTTGGAAGCACCTCTGGTTAGGTTAAGGTCCACATTATGCTCACAGATTAGTTCTCACTTTCAGAAACAGTTTCTTAAAACTATGACAAATGTCAGAAAGTATAAATGGCTATTCAAAGTCTTTATACATATGGAACTTCAATCTGCATGGTAAGCTAGAAAGTCACATAATTAGAACATCTTTGTTTGATCCTTGCAGATATTTTAATGGTGTAAGGGACTGACAAAAAAATGAATGATTTCAGGTACAAAGTTGGGGGCCCTGACTGGACCTGCAGTCAGCTCACTCGTGTAATACTGTACTGTACTGTAGTACTATCCTCCCATTGTTCATCGATTTTCTTGAGCAGGCCCAGTTACTTCTCCATTGTGAGATTTGTTGTTACTGAGTTTGGCATATCGAATATATCATGGGTAGCTTGCCAGGCTTTGTCGTGCAGGCGAGATACTCTTGGTAGCTTGCCGAGCTCTCCGAGAGGGGCAGAGGAATCGAACCTGGGTTGGCCGGGCTGGCCACATGCAAGGCAAACACCCTACCGCTGTGCTATGGCTCCAGCACTCATGTAACAGGCATTAGAAAGTGATTCTAAGGCTTCTCAGTAAATTCCTTGAATTTGACCCTTGGAGTGTTAAAGTTCAGCTTCACTACATAAGATGTTTTTGCTGCTGCTGCTGCCTTCCTATTTATGTTCTGTAAATCTCAAAGTCCATGAACTCAATCTTTTTTGTGGGGAAGAAGGGCCCCAAGTAGTATTCAGGGGCCCAGGGATCCTCAGTCAACTGGGCCAGGCAGTTCAATACAAGGATCCAAGGATAAGAGACACTCAGCCCTTGAAGTTGCAAAGACCATCGGGGTCACCCTGGGAGTTTTCAGGGGCCCCCAGAGGCACACCCAGCAGTGTTCAGGGACCATCAAGGCTCTATCCAATGGTGCCCAGGGAGGCCTTCTGGTGCCAGTATTCAAATGCAGGTTCCAGTCCATACAAAGCACAAACACCAGACCACTGAGCTCCTTAGTTCAATCTTTTAACATGTCTCTCAGTCTAAGCTTTCTACTTTCGTTGTATACAAGCACCATACAAGTTTCATGAAGGTAAGTCAAGGCAAAGATGGTTTCCATTTTAAAGATGGGGAAATTTAGATTCATGTGGCTAATTTTTGTCTATGTGTATCGCAAATTAGTAATGGGAATGTGAATTATCCTTATCCAGGCAGAACGATAGCACAGCAGAGATAGCACAGGTAGAGCATTTGCCTTGCACACAGCAAACCTGGGTTCAATTCCTCTGTCCCTCTTGGAGAGCCTGGCAAACTACCGAGAGTATCCCGCTCGCACAGCAGAGCCTGGCAAGCTTCCCGTGGCATATTCTATATGCCAAAAACAGTAACAAGTCTCACAATGGCGATATTACTAGTGCCCGCTCAAGCAAATCGATGAACAATGGGAGGACAGTGCTACAGACAGTGTTTTATCCTCCACTTCCACTCACAATTCTTTTGTGTCTGGTGAGTAAATGTGGTTTCCCAGATTTAATGAACCCCAGACACAGAGAATGGAGTCATCACCTACTATGGATAAATCCCCTGAGAGCTTAGGAATAATAACTACTATTATTCCTACTAAATAATAGCTACTATTATTCCGAAGAGCTCACTCAGAACACAGAGCTACTTGGGAGATGGTAGCAGCAATCAATGCCAGGCCAGAGACCCATGCCCTGATCTCTACCACACACTTAGAGTTGGAGCCACACTCTCCCAGCCTGGCCTTTGTAGCCCTTAGTACTCCGTCTCATGCCCTCTATCCCTCCCTGCATCCCCTCCCTCCCCCTTGGCTCACTCTGCTCCAACCACTTTGGCCCCCTTGCTCTGTCGCTGACTATACTTACCCCTGCTACTTTACTCCCTGAAGACCAGCATATTCCCTTTTCTCACCTCCTTCTACGCACATCACCAATGAGTCCTTCCCAACACTGCATTTATGATCAACAAATTCTCCTACTCACACATGTGTCCCAACTTATATTGTTCTATTTTAAATAGTTTTTCTATATAACATATTAGATTCTACTCAAACACATGATATAGAGTCCTCTTGCCTACAGTCTTTCTCCCTGCTAGAATGTTAGGGGTTCTATGTTCATCATCAGGCCCATATATAGAATATTTGGACACAGACACTACCCCAGTAGAGAATAATAAACATAGCAGGTGATGAATAAGCAGTGTGTGGATGCAGTTAGTGGTGGTGGTTACTATACTGGGATCTTATCATAAACTCTCCAACCTATGCTGGAATCAGAAAATAGAGTTGAGTCAGGTCAAAGTAGGGTTACGTATGATTGGTCTACATTTCCTCTGGTGAGTGGGCAACATTCAGATCTTTGGCATTCTTCAAATCCACAATTTCCCTATCAACCAAGACTTTTTTTTTTTTTCTTTTTGGGTCACACCCAACGATGCTCGGGGGTTACTCCTGGCTCTGCACTCAGGAATTACTCCTGGTGGTGTTTGGGGGATCACACGGGATGCCAGGGATCAAACCTGGGTCAGCCACATGCAAGGCAAACACCCTACCCACTGTAGTATCGCTCCAGGCCCCCAAGTCTTTTTATTTTTAGCATTGATAAAACACACAGCTTGTTATGTATCTGGTGATGTATCCTCCCTTCTAAGAATGCAGAACACTCTGGGATGGAGATGGAAATACCAGCTTTCTGCCCCTAGACTGCCTATGTCTCTGAGTTGACTCCCACCCAACTCCATCCCATTGCATATGCTCCTATCAGACCCAACTGTTCAATCTGTGAGGTCATAATTCCCACTGTCAATTTCCTTCCGAAGAATGCCAAGTTCTCCACCAAGAAAGAAGCTCCTTTTGTCCTGGAGACTTCCGAAATTGGGTCAGATCTGTTTGCAGGAGTAGAAGCCAAAGGGTTAAGTGTTAGGTAAGTACATTTTTTTTTTCCTTTTTCTGTTTTCACATACGAAGGGGAAAAAATTATCGACCATGAAAGTTTCTGATCACCAGAGGTTAGTAAATGTGTTGAGTGATTCATGTTTTGCTTTGTTTCCAGGTTTAAAGTGGTTTTGAACAGCTGCTGGGCCACTCCCTCGGCAGATTTCATGTACCCCTTGCAGTGGCAACTGATCAACAAGGGGTAGGTGTCACTACATGGAGCACAGTTATAAGAACTGGGACAGGGAGACCTAGAGGTATTCTGGTATACAATAGTATGACAGTGGGATAATTTGGAAGGAAGAGGTGAGGTCCGTTGGAATCAGATCTGTGACATTATTTGTCTTTGAGGCTGAATACTGAAAAGACAGAATGCTTTCTAGTTCTTGGGAATTTCTCAGAGCACTTTATCACAGATAAATATTACCGGTAAAAAGGAAACTGAGACACAGAAGGGATAATCCATGTCATTTAGTGTGTAAATATGTGTGTGTTTATTCAGTGGAAAAGTGGGCAGGCTGTTCAAATCTAGACAGTTTGGCCTAAAAACTCTGGGAAGGAAGGCATTAGATAATCCACTTGAAAAGCTTAGCACATGGTATCTAAAGGATATAAATAATATACTTTTTTCATTTTATTAATTCAGTCAATAATAGGGTTCTCAAAGTAGAGAATTGCGTAGAAAACTGAGGAGTTTGACTTGCACCAGAGAGAGGCAGGTCTAGAAGTTAAACTTAGCAACGGTGTGTGGTTGGTTGGAAAGACCACATCAGACCCCGGCAGTCATCCAGACAAAGGCGATAAGACTTGGGAAGGTCATCCAAGAAAGGGAGAAGTGGTCAAAATTTAGCAACCATCTGGATACAGGGAGGAGGGAAAGACAGGCCCAGGCATCTGAGGAAGGTGTGACAACCCTATATCTGCCCTGTGACAACCCTGGCTTGTGAAGGGGAAGGGTTATTTGCTGCCTGCCCAGGGGGAAGGGCTTCTGGATAAGGGAGTTTGGAATTTGTAATCTCCTTGAGTTGGAGACCTATGTGTTGAACTTAAGAAGTACCTAGACTTGTACCTTTGGAATGCAGAGGAGAGAAGGAGCGAGACTAGAGGTGTGGGTTTGCTTCTCCATACCAGGAGTTGTAAATACAGAGGAGGCCAAAACAGATAATACTGAAGCAGGCCTGAGTGGTTTTTGTCATCGCTAGTATCCAGCAAGACTAAGTCAATGTTGGGGGTCAGGGCCATAGATGGTTAGATAACAAAGGTGGAGTCACTTTGGACTCCACAACAATATTTAACTATTGATTGTTATTGAACAAACAGTTATGTAGCCCTTATAGCATTCCAGACATGTTCTAGATGAATGCTTTACATTTCTTTATTTCAGTGTCATTAACTCCCCCTAGAAAGGGGGAGAGAGAGAGAGAGAGAGAGAGAGAGAGAGAGAGAGAGAGAGAGAGAATAGGAGCTAATAGATTCACCTTGCATGCAACTGACCCCAGCTTCATTTCTGGTACCATATATGCCCCTGCCCCGCCCCCAACAGTCAGGGGTGACTCCTGAGCAGAGTCAGAAATAGTCCCTAAGCACCACAGGGTGTGGTCTAGAAAGAAGCATTTTCATCATCCTGTTATTCGTCGATTGCCTCAAGCAGGCCCCAGTACCGTCTCTTTCATTCTAGCCCCGAGATTATATTCAAGGCTCTTTAGGAGAATGAGACCCATCATTGTTACTGGTATTTGGCATATTTGGTACGCCACGGGGAGTTCTGCCCCCGCGCCTGGCTGTTCCTCGCCGAGGCCCCTTGGAGGGGAGCGGGTTGAGCTTTCCTCCCCACCCCGACCAGGGCTCCAGCAGCCGAAGACCTCCAGGACCAGAAAGAAGCATAAGTAAATAAATTCCCTATCTATTGGGAGTATAAGGTAAAGGCCCTCCCGTTGATCGTCGATTTGCTCGAGCGGGCCCAGTAACGTCTCCATTGGAGACTTTGTTGTTACTGTGTCTGGCATATCGAATACTCTCGGTAGCTTGCCGGGCTCTCCGAGAGGAGCGGAGGAATCGAACTCTGGTCGGCCATGTTGGCCGCGTGTAAGGCGAACGCCCTACCCGCTGTGCTATCGCTCCAGCGATATATTGGGAGTATAGTAATCACTGTGTTACAGATAAGAAAGCCGACTCAGACAGGTCAAGACCTAGTGAGGATTTGTTAAGGAGACTAGCAGACATGCTAAGGTTCAAATCAGTTTGTGCCTGCAGAAGCCCCTCAGAGCTCCCTGTAGAAATGGGAGGCTCACTGCAGGTGTGCCTGGGTCGTCACTGTTATTAACAGTGACGTTCTCAAAGAGGTACCAGGGAACTGCCGGACTGAATTGATTCTAAACCTACCGGAACCTGAAATTACCACCAGGCCTGGGAACACCCTTTCAGACAGTGCCCACAAGCAGAGGTCAGAGTGTGCTGCCCACCATGAAGTCACCACTCCGTAGAAAACACTGCTTCCTAGGCTGCGACCTGTGTGAAATGAAGCAGAGAAAGGTTTGCTAGGTGTGGGGCAGTCCTCAAACTCCACTGCACAGGAGCAACCTAGCTGCCAGGGAGCCCCCCAAATACCCACATTGGGAGGTCTGGGTTGTACCACAGGACCCCGCATTTAAGTCACAGCGAATAAACCCTGTGCCTCTCCCTATTGGGTGGAGAAAGTGGGGCCGAGCTAAAATCCGCTGCCTTGAGATTGGAGATCTTTGCCCAAAGACCCGCCATGAGGGCAGCTATCGAAAGCCCACTTCTTCAATCGCCCTGATATTTTAGGGTCATGCTGGGCCTTTGGTGAAGAACAGTTCAGGTATGGAAAGTGCTTCGGGAGTGTAGATATGCTGCCTGGAATTTCTGATGGGGGAGAAAGGAGACTCTTTACAGTGATGTCAAATCTTCCCTGCGGGTGTTCCAGCCAAGCAGAGATCTCTGAGGTCTCTGAGGGAGTGGGCCCAGAGTGCCTCCAAGAGGCACTAGAACCAAGGCCTGTGGGGCCTGCTCTGCCTGGCCTCACAAGCCCTGGACCAAGCTCTGTTGACTTTGTTCCCATTGGCTGGCACCCACTGTGGACACTCAAGTGGCAGCGAGCTATTTTGAGGGCTCACATCTCAAGCTCATGCAAGGATCTGGGACCTATTGCAAGAGTCCTGTTTCATATCTCGGAAAACGTCCTCAGCTCCGCTGCTACTCGGAGGTGCTACTTCTCACCCTGGCTGACAGAAGGCCCAGAATTCCTGCCCTACCTGACTCTCGTTCAGCATTATTGATTTTCCTTGCACCTGACCTCTCACTGGGTCCCTAAGGGGTGGCTGGGCTGAGATGAAGTGGGGAAAGGGGGAGTTGACCCATCTCTGCAGGATGAGCTGCACTGACAGCCGACTCAGGGGTATTTGGGGTTCACTTCTGGATACCCAGTGGTGCAACCCAAGATCTTTAGTTTTCTAACCCATCAGTTTTTTCTCACCTGCAGACCACAAGCCTCCATCTGTGGGCCTCGCTAGACACCAAGAAAGCCGTGTCTGCTCCCACACCTGGCTGCAGTTTTGGCACTGACAGAGTGGCCAGCATGTGTCCATCTCCATGCTACCGACATGTGGGACTGTCCCGTGCATTGTAGAATTTCTGCTGCATTCCTGGTCTCTAACCACCAGGCACCAATAAGTAGCACCATCCACATTCCCCCAGGTCACCATTCACCATAATAACAATTTCTGTAGGGCTCTCTCTCTCTCTCTCTCTCTCTCTCTCTCTCTCTCTCTCTCTCTCATTTTGTGTTGGGGCCACACATGGTGGTACTCAGGACTTACTCTTGGTTATGTACTTAGGGATCGCTCCAGACAGAGCTTGGAACCCATATGCAATGTCAAGATAAAACTTGGGTCAGCCACCTACAATGCAAATGTCTTACTTCCATGCACTATTTCTCTAACCCCCCAAAACTACCCTGACAATGCACCTCTACATCTTTCTTCTTTTCTTTCACTGCTCTTGTTACCTTTGTGGTTTTGGAACTGCACCATTTCTGATTTCTCTTTAGAATTTGAAAGAAATACATAAAGTTACAAAGAAACAGAAACGGTCCACACTGCCACCATGCCTTTACAGTCAGCGGTAACCTAGAGGTGGTCTCCTCCTTGTCATTTTTCTAGCCTTGGACATAGTTAAAATATAACACAGACTCAAATGCCTAATGGCAAACCCTCTCAAGCACACACAGAGATGAGCTGGATGGGGCATGGGTTGAGTGTTCCAGGGGAAACTCCCTCATCTTTTTTCTACACATATACCAGGGCTCCTTCCAGATCTCAACCCTCCACAGCATTTTCTCCTGGGAACTCCCCATCTTCGGGAAAGAAGGTGGTGACCTCCTCAGTGGCTTCTTCTAAGACATTCCCCTCTGTTGTCCTGTCAGTATATTGGGAGACCTCACACCCTACCCCCTAGCTTTTCAACATGGCCTCATGGTCCCAAGGAGGGGAGAGGTGCTGTCAGTCTAAGTTTCCAGGAGGGTAACACACTATGCAAAGGCCCAGTAACACACTGCTTGTGGAGGTAACATTTTCTCTTCCCCTTCCTTCCCTACATGACTTAGCTGCCCTACGGATGAAACTGTGCTGGTGCACGAGAATGGGAAGGATCACAGGGCAACCTTCCAGTTCAACGCCTTCCGCTTCCAGAACATCCCCAAGCTCTCCAAGGTCTGGCTACACTGTGAGACGTTCATCTGTGACAGCGAGAAGCTCTCCTGCCCTGTGGTGAGTTGGAGCACATTTTCCAAGGGGAAGTGAGGGACTCGAGGGCTTGAATTGGACCAGATACACGTTTGACCGGAAAACTGTCACCAAGCCCCATGGAAGTGTGTTCTGAGCAGAGAAAATCAGCCCATGTGTGTGTTTGTGTGTGTGTGTTGGGGGCATGGATGGGGGACACATAGCAGACACTATAGTCTTGCCACTGACAGCTTTCATGACCTAATATGTACCACTTGAAGCTTCAGAGCCTAGTTGTCTCATCTTTAGGGAGGTGGTAGTGATTATGGCCTTTTGCAGAGCACATTGTTCATTTAAGGGAACAGGGAACAGAGGAAGAAACACAAGATGGGAGCCGCAGTCATTGAACAGAAGACAAAAGCTGCATGTTTTTAACCCCAGAGAGGCAAACATGAGTTCTGCCTCTGGAACTTGAAAAGGACCAAAGATGCTGGAGAGTCCCAACTCGACTCTGAGTCACAGCTGACCTGACCAAGTGTTTGCCATTTTATATACTTCCTTATTAGGTATAAAGTCAACCACCTCAAGTTGCAAAGGTTGGAGGAAAACAATTTTCCAGTGCCACCATCTGTGAACCTAGATGGCCTGGCAAAAGGGTGGTCCCTGGAAGCTTCAGCATCACCCGTGAACTTGTCAGGAATGTGGCAGCTCTTTCTACCTCATTCAGGATCCCTGGGGTTGGCCCAGAAACCAGTACTTTCCCAAACCCTTCGGGCAAGGCCTGCTCAGGTCTGAGAACTACCATGGTCAGGACCGGAAAGGGGTAAAACCCAAACGCACCCCCTCTTCTGTGTGGAGGAGAGACCCCGGCAGAAAGAGAAGGGAAGGAACTTCTGAGGAAAGCACTTGCTCCCATCATGTCTGATTCCCCACAGAAATCAGATTAAAACCTCTCTGTTTAGTGAATTATCACAAGAAAATGCCTCTCAGTGAGCACAAATAGAGCAAGGAAGGAAGGAAGCAGAGAGAACGGACTCTTTGAGGAGAAGATCATTGTTGGTACTAGGTTGCAAAAAGAAAACAAACCAGAAAACACTGGGCAAACGTCAGCTCTTCAGATCACTTAGGGGAGAAGAACTGTAGACAAACACTTTACTGATTAAGAAACACTGCGTCAATCCTGACCACAAATGGGAACCTCTCCCAGAAGGGCCTTTTTGGTTTAGTTTCATGTCTATTTCCCTTCCTCACCCCTACATCCGGTGGTGCACAGGGGCTACTTTTGGTTCTGTGCATAAGAACCCTTGAGGTGTTGGGGTCTAACATGGCCCCCTACCATGCTCTCATCTTGTTGAACTATCTCTCAAAGAAAGCTTTAATTTCGCTAGTTGAAGAGATTTAAAAAAAAAAAAAATGTCTCCTGAGTTCTAACGAAAAAGAAAGGTAACTGATTATCTGTTGGTTGGGGGATTTAGACTCCATTGAGTTGGGACTGCTTTTTTTTTTTTTTTGAACACGCATTTCTTTTTTTCTCTCCTCCTTTTGCCTCTCACCCCTGGACCCCTACTTTGCCTCTCCTATGTTTCCAGACCTGTGACAAAAGAAAACGGCTCCTCCGAGACCAGACCGGGGGCGTGCTGGTGGTGGAACTCTCCCTCCGAAGTAAGCTTCCCTGAACCCCAAGAATGGTACCACTCCCCGCTGCATCCACAGGCACTGCTGCGATGAGCATTTTGACTGAACTGCCAAACCAGTTGTGTCTGTAGATAGTCTTTTTCTGTTCCTCCTGTATTCCCCCATGAGGGGTGGGGTGAATAGTAATTCAACCAAGGGTGAAGTTAGGGAAGAATTCTGAAAAGCTTCCTCTGGAGCCTTACTCCAGTGTCCTGGGGGCTTAAGAAGGGTCTTGCAAGGAGCCTGCACTCCACCATAGCAATAGGCAACCAAATGCGTGAGCATCCACGGCAGTCAACAACATGTGCTGGCCAGTCAAAGCTGGTCACAGCAATAAAACAGACCTCCATGGGCTGTATCCTCTCAGCTTACAATCTAACAAGGAGAGATGTCAAATGCTAAGAACAAGGGGAGAAAATTGTGGGAAAGGAGGCAGAAAACTGAACCCTAAGGACACATATGACAAGGAAGTTAAACCTAGTCCTAGGGTTAAGGGAGGCCCATTGGTAATTGTCAAACATGACCTATCACACTCACAAGTATGAACCTGTGTTGTCAAATGAAGGGGAACCAAGGTCTTTGAAAGTGGGGGTTCTTGGTAGTTGTACTTCATCACTGCATTTCTCAACCAGGTTTCATATGAGCGCTCTGGATATATCCAAGGAAGCCAGAGGTGAAAATTGCATAGATGGGAGACAACAGCATAAAACTAGGAGGCCAACAAGTAGGGCAGGGAGGTCACAGGAAGAAAACAAGTTTGGGACAGGGCCATGGTTGGAGAAAGGTTGAAAAAACACTGGTGTCAAGGACCAACTCCTACCCAGAGGGCCAGATGCCAGCTGTCACCTGATTCTGGTTTCCATTTTTGGCACTGCTGGAATTAAACCCGAGGGCTTGCACATGCCAGAAACATACTACTGAGACACTTCTTTGTCCACCTCTGCCTGGTTTTGTATGTCCAAGTTAAGAACAGATTCCATACCTTTTTATAAGGTTGAAGAAATGTTGGGGGGGGGGGAACGCTATTTCATAACACATAAAAATGACATGAAATGTACATTTCAGTGTTTCCCCAGAAAGTGCTCTTGTCATTTCGGTGCTGTTCACCACTTTTGTGCCACTGCAGCAGTGTCAGTGGTCGCAGTGGAGCCCTGGTGGCACATTGACTCTCAGGCCCTTTCCAGAAAGTTTACCAGCCCCGTCTTCCAACATCGTGGTGAAAATGGTATGAAATGAAGACTCTTTAAACTCCAGGATAAAGTGTTTATCACCACATAGTCATCACATATTTAATGAAAAATCATTTTTTGCAAAAAAAGTGGAGGGGCACCCATTATGTAAATCTTTTATTTAAAAAAAAAAAGCATTGTGCTAGTATTACTAAAAAAGAGAAAAAGAAAAAACAGGACATGGCAATGATGCAAGGAAATAGAGTACCCTTTGTCCTCAAAGCAGTGGCCAGCCCAGTTTAATCAGGGGTCACAGTGCCTGAATTGGGGCTAGGACTTTTCTCCCTTCGTCTTTTACACCTCTGTTCTCTCTCTCTCTCTCTCTCTCACCACAGGCAGGGGACTCTCCAGTCTCTATCACTTCTCAGGTAAGGAGAAGACACTTCCAGGAAATATCAAAGGGCTAATGCTTTAAAAAAATAATAACAATAATAATGAAATTTAAAGGGGAGGAGTGGAAAGATAGAACAGGGCACAAAGCATTTGCCTTCTAAGCAGACGACTCAGGTTCAATCCTCCGCATCACATATGTTCTCCCGAGCCCTGCCAGGAGTACACCCTGAACACTGACAGCCGTGGACCAAGCCCCCCTGCCCAAATTGTGGCATCACATTTTATGGCCAATGTGATAACCAGCCACATAGGCTGGAGGTTCAGTGCATGTTGGTCCAGCAATCTAAGGTGATGAAGCTTGGGCTCAGCTGTGCTAGGGGCCACCTGGCAGTGATGGGAGGCCCTTGGGGCAACCACCATGATGCTGAGGATGGAGCTCTGGGCCTTGTGTGTTCCAAGCATGCATTCCAGCCCTCTGAGCTCTCTCTCCCCACTCATAACCCATGCTTTTAACAGGCCAATGTGTGTTTCCAAAGCAACTGCCCCTTGGCCCCTGCCAAGCCTTTAAGAGTTGAACGCGACACTTTCCAGCCCCAGTGGGAAAGGTAGGCTGGAGGTAGAGGGGACTCTTCAGTGATCTATTGAGGTCTGAAAGGGTGACAAGCTTAAGGGGTCCCCTGGAAGAAGCAGACCTGGATCCTACCTCCCCACCATTGGCTGCACTTGGGGGCCCTTCCTTTAGAGGAAGTGAGGTTCATGACCTTTTTATGGCACAAATATTTCTGAGTCCCTACTGTAACAATGCCCCTCATTAACTGGGAGCGTTGACAGTGACCTCACCCTTCTGGCTCCCGTTTCCTCTAGTGAAATTAGGCTAATAATTGCCCTCCTCATGCACAGCTGTTGTAAGAACTAAATATTACAGCTAAGGGCACCAAACAATGCCCGAGATCCGCTGAAACATCCCGCCAAGATCAGCCTTCTCTATCCAGACCAGGTCTATGTACCTGCAATGAGCAAAATGGGGGAGTCCCCACCCTTCTCAGCATGTGTGATATCTGAGAGCTGGGGCTGGGTAATGATTTGGGTAGCAGCAGGGGAAGAAATGATTCCACAAAGACCCCACATTTTACCAGGTCAAGGAGAAAACCAGGCATAGAGATAAACTAAGAAAGTTCAATTTATAACCAACCACCTATAAGGAATTTACTCTCAGAATTACAGAAATTACACAAACCAACTTTTTTTTGGGAGGGGTATACCTGTTGTACTTGGAGTTACTCCTCTTTCTGTGCTTCCGGGGATGCTGTGTCAGGCATTGAATGAGGGTAAACTACATGCAACCAAGGACCTTAATTCCTGTACTATCTATCTATTTGCCCCCGCCACAAGCCTACTTTTTAAAACTCCAACCCAAGAATCACATTTTTTAAATGTTTTTAAGGTTTTATTTTCCTTTATTTGAGAGCAAACTGGGAGGGGTGGGGAACCGAACCATGTGGTGCCAGGGATAAATCTTGGGACTTCAACAAGAATCACATTTCTAACGAAAGTTCTGTGGTCTGTATCATACACGAGAGTAAAATGTGCTATGATTGTGGGTCGAAGTTTAACTTCCATTGGTCAGAGGTTCAGAATCTGGGTTGGTTTTGTCACCTTTGTCCTGATGAAAGTGAGCTAATGAAACTCCAAGATGTGAACCAAACTGGCTTTGCGTACAATATGGGGCATTTGGGAAAACCACCTTTGCACCACTGCATTGATGCTCTAAGGGAATTAAGTCTGAAAGGGAGTGGCCCATGGAATTAGTTCCCCCCTCTCTGTTTTGCCTCACAGATGTTATCTACCACCTTGTCCTGATGCTGGGAATCTGTGGAGTCTTGTAGGCAAGAGGCAGGAGGGCATCAGCCACTCCCACTCCCAGGATCGCCTCCTCTTTCCCACCTTTTCTGTGCATCCAGAAAGAACAACCAGCAGACCCTCCTGTTGGAGGCCAAAAGCAGTGCTTTGCCAAAGACAATTTCCAATGTTTCTTGTGTCAGTGATGGTTTTGCTGTGGGGCCCCCTTTCCTCTTATTCCTGCAGTGACCCTTAGGTTTGGCAATCACGGAAGAAGTTCTCCCTTTACACACAAGGCAGACAGGCCCCTTTGAACCAAGCCCAGCTAAGAATGTGGAGAAGGCAAAATTTACCCACAAAGCCCAGCATGGCTACGCTTTTCATGGCTGTACAATTCTTTTTTTTTAATTTTATTAGTGAAACACCATGAGGTACAGTTGTAGCCTTACAAATTTTTGTGCTTGGATTTCAGTTATACAATGATCGAGTACCCATCCCTCCACCAGTGCCCATTCTCCACCACCACTGATCCCAGTATGCCTCCCATCCCGCCTCTGTGGCAGGACATTCCCTTTTGTTCTCTCTCTCCTTTTGAGAGCTGTGGTTTGCAAAAGAGGCATTGAGTGGCAATCATGTTCAGTCTATAGTCTACTTTCAGCATGCTTCTCCCATCCTGGGAGGATTCTCTCAACACCCTTTATTTGGTGCTCCCTTCTCTATCTGAGCTGCCTTTTCCCCTAGCATGTGTGCTGGCCTCCAAGCCATGGAGTAAACCTCCTGATACTTATCTTGGCTATTCTTGGGTATTAGTCTCCTCCATTTTGTTACTTTATGTTACCCAGATGAAGCAATCTTTTTCTGTCCCTCTCTTTCTGACTCATTTCGCTTAGCATGATACTTTCCATGTAGTACCACTTGTATGTAAATTTTATGACTTCATTTTTTTCTAACTGCTACATAGTACTCCATTGTGTAGATGTACCAAAGTTTCTTTACCCAGTTATCTGTTCTTGGGCACTCAGGCTTTTTCCAGATTCTAGCTATTGTAAATAGTGCTGCAATGAACAAACAAGTGCAGATGTCACTTCGACTATACTTTTTTCATGGCTTACAATTTCAATTCTTACAAAGGGATGAGCCATCCCACAGGTGTTTTCAATCTTTCAATGCCTCTAATATTTTCACTCAAGCCTGAAAAATCTGGAAGAAAATGATCCTTTGAAACAACCCCGCAGGGGTCAGAGAGATAGTATAGTAGGTAGGGTGCTGCCTTGCAGGCTGCCGACTAGGGTTCAATCCCAAGCATCCCGTATGATACCCTGAGCACCGCCACGAGTAATACCTGAGTGAGGAACCAGGAATAACCCCTGAGCATCGCCAGTGTGTTCCACCATTACAATAAAAGAAAACAACCCCTCATGTTAACCTCATTTTTTATTATAGGATTTCAAATAAATTATGAATATATAAAACTTTTAGGTCATAAGGAGGTATAAGCGACTTATTTTTATAGCTGTTATATATTCTAAAATCAAAAGAGCTTTACAAATTAAGTACAAAAAAAGAATACAATTAGCACTAACACAACTTTAACCCCATAACACGGTGTTGCCTAAATGAAATGGCAGCTACTCCACAGGATCCTGGAGTAGTTTCCTTGTAGGTCCCCTAAAATATGTCTGCCAAGCCAGCCTGTACCTGCAATGCTCCGTGTGCTATCTTTTTTTCCCTTTACATTATCTACAAAGCCTCCATTTATACAGAATGAGCTCACCTTCCTTAACTTTTTTTTAAACATTTAAGCCCATATCTGTGGTTGTGTCATTAAGTCTGATCATTAGAATGGAACCCACAGAAAAACTTACAAATGCAAAATATGGCAAATTCCACCAATCCAGAATTTGTTGATATTTTTTTCTTTTTGGGTCACACCGGCGATGCACAGGGGTTACTCCTGGCTTATGCACTCAGTAATTACTCCTGCCAGTGCTTGGGGGACCATATGGGATGCTGGGAATCAAACCCAGGATGGCCACATGCAAGGCAAACATCCTACCCACTGTGCTATCACTCCACCCCTAATATGTTGATCTTGATGACTTACATTGTCAGCAAAATAATGAGAATATGTCAGCCCTGCTAGGGAACTGGTAAATCTTGAGACTGCACCATGGACCCCATGAACCCTTGACGAAACAGAGATCTATTGATTTCTTTATCTTGTGCAGACCTAATGAGTGGGCTTATCATTTGAAAATATGTCAGTTCATATCTCTGTATTGGATGTACTTGAGAAGTGCTGAGATCTGTAGTCTGAAGGCTCTTTACAACTGTGTTAATGAGCGCAGAAATTATACTAGAGCTCAAATCTCTGGAGACAGGGAACGCATGTTTGTTCAGCAATAGATTAAAGTGACACAGTGACTCAACTGTCTCTAGGCTGGTGCTCTCATCAGTTGGGGATTTCTTCTTCTTGCAAATTCAAAGTATTTTTAGTCAGGAAGAACAAAAGACATATCTTACTGGTTCTAGTTAAAAACTTCTAAATAATTGGGCTATCAGTGTAAAACGATATTGATTTGCCTTATTTGTTCATAATGGTTAATTATGTCTCTACCTGGTGCTACGGAATAAATGTCTTAAAATAAACCACCCATGACTCTTGCAATGTTAATGTTTTGTGCTGCTAGTCAGTATCTCATCCCACCCAGAGGTATCTAGACTGAGGTCTTTCTAACCTATTATTTTCAGTCTTTCTAACCTATTATAATTTACTTTTCAAAAATTCTCATATTGATTTTCTGATGTAAACAAGGAAGTTATTCTGTAGGATGAACATTTTGGGGACAATCTCTCGGGCCACCCTGTCTCTATAGCCCTATTGTCAATCATCAGACTGTGTTTTGACCTAAAGTGAACCAAGAGTCCCCTGATAGTTGGTTGCCCTCAGGTCTCACAGCATCTCTCATAGGGAATTAAGAGAAAGCATTTGCAAAACAATCGCTTTTATAAATTCCCATTAGTGCTAAACATAATACAGACATTTAAAGAAGGAGGAAAGAGTGTTCTCTCCCTTAGGTACATTTGGTTGACACAGAAGCATTGGATGTAGATCTTAAGTTACTGTCCTTATTAAAATTCCTAGATATGATTTCTAAAGCACACTTCCATCTCTCGTTTCTCTTTCTCTCTGCAGATGGGTTTCTATACATATATGAACATATAATATAGAGATATATACACCCCTTAATTAGTCAATAGTAAGTTTTAGGTACATATGTTTTATATGCAAACAAAAATATGTGTATGAGTGTATATTGTGCATATGTGTGTACATATTGCGTTTATATAGATGCCAATGTTTATATTGTAATCATAAAATGAAAGGGTGGAAATAACAGTCTTATTATGAGCACCTAACTTGTGTAAGCCTATGAGCTAAAGCTGGAGGATACACATACACACACTGTCTATACAGAGGTGGGCTAATATGAAAATTGCTACATGTGTGTATCATTTTCTCACCCTCCTTTAATGCAACTGTATTTGATGATTAAGTTACTTTCAAAGTTTTGTAATGCCCTTATTGTTCTTCATATATTGAATTAAGAATATTTCTGCCTCCTTCTCTCCAACAAAATAGAGAGCTAAAGATCAATGAAAGTGTTATATTGTCTCCTGATGAGATACCTCAACGAGTTAATGCTCAATGTTCTTTGAATGAATAAAATGTTCACACAAAGGATGGATGGATAGGTGGGCGGATGGATGGATAAATGAATGGGATGAGACTTGTACCCCGGAATTGTTTGGAATCCAGAAGCCCTGACCCCAGAAAAGTGAAGAAGTTATAAGGCATTTGAAGATAAGTTTGGGTTCCTTATTTCCTTTCTGGGGTAGTAAGGGGAGGCCCTCTGTTCCCTTTGTTAAATGTTCCTACTCTTCTCCTTCAGTCACAAGCTTTCAGTCCTTACACTGTAGAGGGGTTGTGTGTGTGCGTGTGTGTGTGTGTGTGTGTGTGTGTGTGTGTGTGTGTGTGTGTGTAGGAAGGGGGGGTAGAACAGAGACGGTCACAATGCATATGAAAGCCAGTTACAGAAATTAGTCCATAAAGGCCTCAGAGCCCAGTCTCCCATGTCCGGGCAAAAAGAAGAGTCCTGCTGATGTCGTACTTAGAAGTCCAAGGACATGGGACTGTTTGCAGAAGTTTGCAGATTATCTTGGCCTGAGTCCTTCATCCTGAAGAAATGCAAGTGTTCCACCAAAACTTTTGTGCAATTTGTCGTCGGTTGACCAAAGGGTAATTTATTTCTCCATACCGAGCTCTAAAGGTAGCTCAGGGGTCAAACAATTAAGAAAGACTCCCAGTCACAGTAGCTCTCACTCTTCCAATCATAGGAATGATAGAAAAAAGTCTCAGGCAAGGCCCAGCCTTCCAGCTGCTCTGCCCTATTCAGGAGCAACCAAAAGGAAGGTCATTTCAATGTGAGGAGTTGGGAAGGAAGGAAGGAAGAAAGGAAGGAAGGAAGGAAGGAAGGAAGGAAGGAAGGAAGGAAGGAAAGAAGGGGGCAGAGAGATAGTGTAAGAATTAAGGCACTACTCAATGTCTCTTTTTGCAAACCACAGCACTCAAAAGGAGAGAGATAACAAAAGGGAATGCCCTGTCACAGAGGTAGGGTGGGATGGGGGGGGTGGGGGGGTGGGAGGGATACTGGGACTGGTGGTGGTGGAGAATGGGCATTGGTGGAGGGAAGGGTATTCGATCATCGTATAACTGAAACACAAGCACAAAAATTTGTAAGTCTATAACCGTACCTCATGGTGTTTCACTAATAAAAATTTAAGAAAAAAAAATACACATTTAAAAAAATTAAATAAAAAGATACATGTTAAAAAAAAAGAATTAAGGTACTGACCTCATATACACCTGACCTTGGTTTGGTCCCCAGTACCACATACAGCCCCCAAGCATCACCAGAAGTGACACCCAAGCATATAGCCAGGAATAAGCACTGCTAGGTATGGCCTATGGCTCTATACAAACATACACACACACACACACACAGAGAGAGAGAGAGAGAGAGAGAGAGAGAGAACACCATGAATGCACTAGTGCCTCACAAAATCTATTACAAGAACCAATGCACAAACCAACATGGAATCCTATTCTTCCTACAGAAGAAAATAATAGCAAAATGGACAGGTTACCCTTGTTTGCTTCTATGAGTTTTTTTGTTTTCAGGACTTTAAAAAAAAATTTCTACTTAAAATTCTAGCCTTGATTGTATCCTTTGCTTAGTAGATATAAAAGAAATGAAGCAATAAATAGAAAACGGGGCATTAGCCACTGGAAACAGTTCCCCCGCCTCCGGTGAGCGTCTGCAGAGCTCCTGCCTGCTTGGAACGGCTGGTAGGCTTGCTCTGGGCTTGCTCAGGCCCCTGAGCCGCGTGTCCTCCACGCATTCCCCAGATGCCTTTGACCAGGGCTCACTCTGCCTGTAGGATGTCTAGCCGGTGAGGTAAATAAGGAGGAGCCGCCTTGCCAAAGAAGGCGGGGCAGTGGGGCCTATGGTCCCACTCTAAGATCCTTCCATCCTCTAGCTTTCCTTGCTCCCAGAATGAAATCGTGTTAGCCACCTAATGGTAGCTAATGGGCCTGAAGTATCTGGCAGCTAGAGCAGCCCCTGGGGCAGGGCTGGCAGCACCAGCCCCTTCCTGCCGCCCAGGAAACCAGGTTCCCAATTCAGCGGGTCCAGCTCTACTTTTGCTCCAGGCCATGTGCAGGGGACAAGAAACGACCAGCTCGAAGGCGCCCCCTGCTGGATGACAAACTCAATGTCCCAGAGAGTTCGTGCACCCCAGAGAAAGGTCCCCACAGACTCTCAGAGGAGCTCACAGGACTTGAAAGAAAATACCTCGGATCTGGCTGACACCTAAAGACAGTAGATACAAGGGCCAGGAGGATTGCCCCATAGCTGGAAGCCTGCGTCATGAGCGGAGGGGAGAAAGCAGATGGAATAGAGAAGGGATCACTAAAAAAATGACTGGAAGAATCAGTCCGGATGGGAGATGTGTGCCGAAAGTAGATAATGGACCAAACATGATGACCTCTCAGTATCTGTACTGAAAACCATAATGCCCAAAAGAAGAGAGAGAGTATGGGGAATATTGCCTGGCATGGAGGCAGGGGGAGGGTGGGGAAGGGGGCTATCCTGGGAGGATTGGTGGTGGGGAACGTGCACTGGTGGAGGGATGGGTGTTTGATCATTGTGTGATTGTAACCCAAACATGAAAGCCTGTAACTTTCTCACGGTTATTCAATAAAATTGCTCGAAAAAGTAAAGGCCCTCCCGTTGATCGTCGATTTGCTCGAGCGGGCCCAGTAACGTCTCCATTGGAGACTTTGTTGTTACTGTGTCTGGCATATCGAATACTCTCGGTAGCTTGCCGGGCTCTCCTAGAGGGGCAGAGGAATCGAACTCGGGGTGGCCATGTTAGCTGCTTGTAAGGCGAATGCCCTACCACTGTGCTATCACTCCAGCCCATTCAATAAAATTAAAAATTAAAAAAAAAGAAAGAAAAAAAGAAAGAAAGAAAATACCTCAGATCTCTGGGACTTCCACTTCTTCCTCAGTAAACTCTGGGAGTGGAAATGTGAAGCCTTCTTTGCCTTTCAACCAGAATGTGGTTTGTTCTCCTTTGCCCTGTGGGAGACGGGGAGAGAGCTGGGAGTCAGGAGGAAGCTGTCAGGGCAGGGTGGGCTTTGAGATGATGACAGGGTCTTCCTCATTCACTGACTGGAAATCGTGTGTGTGTTCAGAACCGCAGCTAAGTGGGGTGGCTCTGTGGGGGAAAGGCCTGGTTCTAAGGAAACATTTGGTAACTTGGGCTTTGAGGCTAGCCTAAATCAGAGGGTCCAGAACTTATTTAACTACGGTCCAATTCTCAGGAAAAAGAGATCACCTGGGAGTCCATCTTTTTTGAGTGAGCCAACAGAAAGTGACTCTCCACAGGTGGAGGGATGGGTACTTGAACATTGTATGACTGAAACATCATCACGAAAGTTTGAAAGTCTGGACCTGTATCTCACGGTGATTCATTAAAATAAAATTCAAAAAAAAAAAAAAAGAAAAGAAAGAAGGGTCTGAGAGATCTCAGTGCCACCATGCCAACACAAAGAACACCCGGCACCTAAATTAAAAGCAGAACCCTGCGTGCGGCCTCATCAAAGAAAAATCTGTTAAAAGCAACCAGTCACTTTCTCTCATTTTTGTTATTGTTAAAATTTTAAATAATTTTTTTATTGAAAAAAAAAGCGCGGCCTTCAATTGCCCAGGAGGCTATTACGCCTACCCGGATTTGGGGACAGTATTATTAGCCACTTTGGAAAAGGCTGGAGGTGGATTGTCAGTGACAGCCCAGGGAGTGAGTGCCAGAAGTCTGTGTGTGGAAAGCAAGACCCCCTTGTTAGAGGAACCACGCCCCCCTCCCTTCCTGACACCTCAGGAGGAGCCCCACAATGCTCCCTGCCCTGAGGGCTAGTGTTCCTCAGAGAGAGGACAGCCTGCCTGGCACACTTCAGTGGCAGGTTGAACACCAGGATGGAGAAGGCTGGAGAGGGGAGGGGGGAGGGGGGAGTATTTAGCAATATAGAAATAAGGTTCAGGACCCTCAAATCAGGCAGCTCCTCTCCACGACCTGAGCACGTTAGACTCAGGAGAAAAGACGTGGAGGAAATAGAACCTTGGGTTTGCTATTGTGTTAGGAGGAGAGAATATTGGGGTGTTCCAGTGGAAGCTGAGGCCTTGCAGGGGTGAAGGGGGGTGATATTGCAGCAATGAGAAAGGAAACCTCCCATAGCAGTGGAACTAGAGGGAGGCTAAGACAGAGATCTGACAGACATCTGACAGAAATCCCAAGTCTAGCCCTGTGAGGGAACTGTCCTATCTGAAGTTCTCTCCAACCTGAGGACCCTCAGACGGGCCTTGGTGGTCTTCCTACCCCACAGTGTGAAGAGTCACTCACCACACCAACAGGGATGCTTCAACATTTCCACAGAGACTGAGTGGGCTGAGGGCTGGGTCATACCTTGACTAGAATGGTGCCTCTCCTTTGCAAATCAAATCTCCTTGAGGCCAGCAGTGTGCCCGCAGTGCTCTGAGAGACGTGGATCCGGGAAGCTGTCATAAACCAGCGGTTCACATGTTAACTGTTGGCCCGGGACTTTCCCATGCCTGTCTGGGACTTTCCCGGGCCTCTCAGGAGGGCAGGGGCTATGGCAAGGGAAAAACTGCCCCTGGCTCAGTTTCTGGGAGCATCACCCCTCTGCAAAGCCATGCCATGACTCTGAAGTGCACAGCTGGGTGGGCACCCTCATGCGCAGGAATTGCTCAAACACTGTTGGAGGCTACTCAGCCTTTTGGAAATTTGATCTAGAAAGAGAAGATGGATCTGATTCCATATTGTAGCTCTTAACCCCTGGGGATGAAGGCCATCTGGGTATCCCAGCTTCCTGAGTGGGCCATATCCCTGACAACACTGCTAGAGTAAGGACTGCAGAAGAGTCAGATTTCGAGGCTAGCTGAGCAGTTTCACCTGTGCCTTAAAAGCAGAGGTTTAAAAAAAAAAAAAGATTTTTTTAAGCAGAGGTTTAAATATGTGTTTGAGAGAGGAGGAGAACTATTGTGCATGCTTCTATATATTGTAGAAAATGTATAAATTAGAAAGCTCCCAACCTAAATTCTTTAAAACTTAAATTGTCAATTCTTTAGCAACTCTATTTCTATTGCTATACATTGTAATAGTGAATGCAATGAAATTACTTCCAAGTAAGAGAATGTGATGGTCCCTGAAGAGCATAGAATGGGGTGCAGATTTCCCCTGTATCCTCACAACCACGCCTTCCATCAGGGACGTTCAAACCACCACCCACAGGTCAATTTCTGCTACCACCTGTATTTGTAAAGTCAAATTTTACTAGCACATGGCCATCCCCATTCATTTCCATATTCCCTAGGCTACATGCAAAAGGCACTTAAATAGCTGTGACAGGGATCAGAGTGATAGTATAGCGGGTAGGGAGTCTACCTTGCACACAGCCAACCTGGGTTCGATCCCCAGAATCCCCTATGGTTCACTGAGCACTGCCAGGAGTAATTCCTGAGTGCAGAGTCAGGAGTAACCACTGAGAATTGCTCGGTGTGAACCAAAAAGCAAAAAAAAAAAAGAAAAAAAAAAAAAACCTGTGACAGAGACTATGTACAGAAAAGCTTTGCTAATTCCTGATCCTCATCTCCAAGTTTTTAACAGATGTGTGCCTGCCTGTTCCGAATGAAAAGTCTCAGAGGATATGGGATGTGTTCATGTGACCCCCGAAGAGGGTACAATGTCAAGCCCCATCTACAAAGCTAGCAGTCAGTTGTTGTCTAAAGTGGTAATGGTCTTAATTTCCGATTGGGAAATAGGAGACAGAATGCAAATGACAAACCACAACACCCAAAATGAGAGAGAGAACAAAAGGGAATACGCTGCCACAGAGGCAGGGTGGGAGGGGGGATGGGGGGTGGGGATGGGGGATGGGAGGGATACTGGGACCCATGGTGGTGGAAAATGGGCACTGGTGGAGGGATGGGTACTTGATCATTGTACAGTTGAAACCCAAGCACAACAATTTGTAAATCTACAACTGTACCTCATGGTGTTTCACTAACAAAAAAAATTTTTTTAAAAATGTAAATGATGGAGAATGGGCACTGGTGGAGGGATGGGTACTGGATCATTGTATAACTAAAACCCAAGCACAAAAATTTGTAAGTCTACAACTGTACCTCATGGTGTTTCACTAATAAAAATTAAAAAAAAATAAAAAAGAAAGAAAGAGGAGCAACTGGGAGAAAGATTGTGTTTGCAAAGCGCAGTAAGCGATACCCAGATACCCACGGAGACTGCTGCTTTCCATCCGGGAGGCCATATTCACCGTATCTCCAAACAGACAGTATCTGGGCATGGTGATTCCCACCACGCCAGCCACCACGGGACCTGCACAGGAAGGAGAGAAGGGTGTAAGCCGACTGCCTTTCACTAGGGCCACATGCTATAATGCACGTTAGGTCCAAGGATGCAACTCTGCAGGGATTTGTTAAGTGTTTTCCTGGGATAAAACTTGGCAATTGAGCTTTAGGTTTTCAAAGAGGTGACCTAGAGAGCCCTCAAACTTCTGGTGGGAAGCAGCATAATCAGTAATGATGAGCTAAAAGTTTGTGTGAGCTAAGTGTTACCAAATACACATGTTGGAGATCTAGCTCTTGAATGGCAGTCCTAGGAAATGGGCCCTTTTGGAGATAGTTTCAAATGAGGCCACAGTGCATGTGATTGTGATAACATTTTCCCCTAATCGGACAAGAAAGGGTATATCATCTGCAAACCAGAAAATTTGACCACACTGGAGTTCTTAGACTTCCAGCCTCCAGAAGGATGAGAAAACAAACACCACTGTTTAAAGCCATGTGGACTCTGGCATCTTGTAATCACAATCCAACCTGAGTGCAGCAGAAATTAAGGGCTCACCACTCACACACTGCAGAGAGGTATAAGCAAAGCCACTATAACTCACAGGTGGTGCTGAATGGCTCTGACCTGAGTCAGGTTTCGTTTCATTGAGCCTTGGAGGTGCGTGGAAGATCAGAGATTGAAAGTGCAAAAGGAACAGAAAGGGCCCTTCATTTCAAATGAGTTCAGCATCCCAAGAGAGGGGTGAATGAGTCTTAAACCAAGTGCAGAGGACCCTGCAGGGGCTTGACAGAAAGAGAATCCATCAAAGAACCCTTACGGAAAAGCAGTACAACAGAACCACCCCTAATTTTGGTCCTTGATTGATGCTTCAGTAATTTGGCATCTTTGGGCATCCTTGTGGTTGCCAATCAGGTTCACGGTCCTCACAGTCCTCCCGTTGTTCATTGATTTGCTCGAGCGGGCCCAGTAACGTCTCCATCATGAAACTTGTTGTTACTGTGGGCTGGAGCAATAGCACAGCAGTAGGGCGTTTGCCTTGCACGCAGCCAACATGGCCGACCCGAGTTCGATTCCTCCACCCCTCTTGGAGAGCCTGGCAAGCTGCCGAGAGTATCTCGCCTGCACGGCAGAGCCTGGCAAGCTACCCGTGACATACTCGATATGCCAAACACAGTAACACAGCCAATCTGGCTAACAAAGAATAAATGTGGAAGGTCAGTTCAGTCTTTCATTGACCCTAAAGATGCTCCACTTCCATTTTAGGGTTCGGAAAGGCCTCAGACCTAGATCCTATAAACAGAACTACCTGCCATCCTCCCTGGATCCCAAGGCCCCCTGCCTCTGTGAGAGCTACCTGTGTGGAGGCCAATCCGGACCTTGAGCTTTTCTGTGGGCATGTGCCCAATCTGGAAGTGTAGGAGAGCGCTGAGGAAGTACAGGGACATAGTGGCAATCTCATCCACGTGCTGGGCACCATTGCGAATGGGAAGTCCACTGGCCACCATGTAGGCGTCACCAATGGTCTCAACCTGAAAAGGAGAGTAACTAAAGTAACTGTATTCTCCACAAGGGGTAGAGGTGCAAACAGGGTCAGGGGCCCACGCCACTCATTACTGACCCAGGTTTTGAGAGCCCTCCTGTCCCAGCTCTTTATACTCCTCTTCCTCTTGTCAGCTACTTCCTCCTCTGAAACTGGATAGTGGTGAGGATTGTTCAAACCAGCCAGTCAGGCAGCCATGCACTGAGGGCTAAATCTTTCACTTCCCCTTTCCTGTCTCGTGCTGACATCCGGGGGTTGCACGCGTACCTGCAGTGGTGCTCAGGCATCCGTCCACCGCACACTATGCATTATGCACTGTGTTGGCCGGGGCTGGCACTGCAGGTTGTAGTGCTCACCTTCTGTTTCAAAGCCCACTGCACATCCCACCTTTCTAGCTGTACTCAGACCTTCTGGTGGTTGTGCTTGCTGAAGTTCGCTCTGGAGTGACCCTCCTGGGGGCTGCATACCTGGCTGCCATGCTCACGCATCTTTTTAGCTATGACACTCCCTAAGGGTTGCTCCTTTTAGTTGTGGTGCTCACAGGCACCTGGCTACTGTGGGACAGAAGGTGCTTGTGGGAGAGGAGAGCTCATACAACAGAGCTGCCGAAATCAGACTTTGTGCATCCAGCAGCACCAGGGATCAAACTCGTGGCCTTATACTTGCATGGCAGGGTACTAGTTGTGTATGGGTGCGCTTTATCTTATTTTTTAGTGTTCTTTTGTTTGAGTTTTGGGGTCTTTTTGTTTGTTTGTTTGTTTGGAGGACACCCAGTGGTGCACAGGAACAACTCCTGTTTCTGTGTTCAGTGGTTGCTCCCAATGATGCCCACGGGGCCAGGGTCATGCTAGTGATTAAACTGGAGGTCAGCTGTGCACAAGGTAAGCGCCTTAACCCCTGTATACCTGGCTCCAACCCTGATGGGTTAGATTTTGAAGAATTACAAAGATTCATCAAGAAGACTCCACCAAACCCAACCTAAAGAGTCTTCACCTTTACCAAGTCTCATATACATCTACACACACATCGACACTATATAAAAATGTACAGTCATGTCTAGAACAGCCCATCTGTCCTCTTCTCTGCAATCTGTCTCCTAAGACTGACTCTAAATTGTTTGTTTACAGCACATGACAAGCACAAGTTCAAAGTCACAGCCTTTTTCAGACACATGTTCTCTGAAGAATGTGTGGTCAAGGTGGAATTCCAGGCATGAGCCAAGCATTGGAAACACCTTGACCCCTGGTATGACTCCCAACTAATACAGAATCAGCTCTTTGGGGACTGACTCTCTCTACTATGAACACATCCTTTGGAGATGCAAACTAATAGTGCTATGTTCTTCATGTTGGGAGGGTCATACCCAGTGATGATGCTCAGGGACACATGAGGTGCCAGAGATTAAACATGGGGTTCCTGCATGCAAAGTATGTAATCTAAACCTTTGAACTTCCCCCACTTTCCACCTCCCACCAGCCACAAAGTTAATTTTCCACTAGCTCATGCAGAATGTGGCTGACCTTGTAACACTAAGTGAAGTCCAGAGGAATCTTCCCAAACAGTGCAGGACTGTTTATGTGGGTATGTGTGTGGTACATGGGGTGGTGGGGGCATGGAATATAGTCTTTGAGACAGTTGTGCTAGCCTTTCACCCCAACAAAGGCATCATTTGTGGAAAATGCTGGAGAATAACCACCCAGGGCATGCCCCTGAGGGATGTGACCACACTCTTCCAGTTCTCTTCGATGCCAGTCCCAGCAGTCATAGTCAGAGCTGGCATGTGGGGGCACGCACCTGGCACGTGGCATTGTCCCAGGATCTGGCTCCATGCAGAAAGTTAGAGAAGGCACAAAGCAACCATCCTCAACCACTCCAAAATGAAGCCAGATGATTCACTTTCCCTTTTTATATATCCCCCAGTCACTTTTCTGTGGCAGGTGATTGTATTTCTATGTCCCTCTAAGAGCTCTAGGCAGGCGGCAGAGCTTATATCACCACCAGAGTCTGAGAGTCTAAGTTGAATGAACTGTGAAGGGCCATGGGAATGGAAAGACACTGAAAAAAAATCCAGGAAAGCCAAGGGGCTGGGGATAGAGAGCTTGAGGGGCTAAGCATGCAGGAAGTCCAGGTTCAATTACCCCCCCACCCACCCACCACTCCATTCTCTGGCACTTCATGATTCCCTGAGCATCACCAAGAACAATTCTCAAGCCATCGAGCCTAGGTATGTCCCCATCCCCAAAACTGAAGAAATAAAGGAGGGTCAAAAGGATCCTCTCCAAATGGGAGAGCAATGTACTCAGGAGGAAATCAGGGGACAAGACAGGAAGGAAGACAAAGTCTTTGTAGAAATGTATTCACTGTGATCAAAAACAGAGGAGGTGGGGCTGGAGTGATAGAACAGTGGGTAGGGCATTTGCCTTGAACGCAGCTGACCCTGGTTCGATTCCTAGCAACCCATATGGTCCCCCGAGCACCAGCAGGAGTAATTTCTGAGTGCTAAAGCCAGAAGTAAACCCTGGCATCACTGGGTGTGACCCAAAAAGGAAAAACAAAACAAAACAGGGGAGGGAATGATAGTGCAGCAAATAGGGCACTTGCCTTGCATGTGGCTGACCCGGGTTCAATCCCCAGCATCCCATATGGTCCCCCAATCACCACCAGAAGTAATTTCTGAGTGCAGAGCCAGAAGTAATCCCTGATCATCACCAGGTATACCACCCCCCCCCTAAAAAAAGAAAACAGCAGGAAACAAACCACTGGAGATTCCCCACGAGCACACATATCTGTGCTTAACCAAGCCCTTTTCCATGAAAAGCAACAGAATATTGTGCCTCTGCCAGGAACAGAGGCAGCTGCCAGTACACAGAAGAGCCTTCTGCTGGCTGAACTCACATCTGGTTCCTCCCTCTCAAGCTGACCAGGACTACATGTCTCCTACTGCCCAGGAGCCGAGCCTCTCACCTTATACACATCGTAACTTTGAATGATGTGGTCAAACAAACTGTACAGGTCATTCAGGAGCTTGACAACTTGCAAGGGGGAGCTGAGAGAACAGAGTTTGGTGAATCCAACGATGTCTGAGAAAAAGATGGTCACGGATTCGAAATGCTCTGGTTCCACGGACCTGCCGGCTAGAAGCTGTTCTCCGATGAAGCTGAAATCAGAGAAGTGGATCTTTCTCATTGTGTCTACAGCATCTTGTCTCTTGCAGCCCCAAGCAAAATCATCCTCATAGCTGTGCAGGTTTCAACAGGCTCACTTTTTGATTAACGAAGTCCATCATCTTGTGTGCAGAAAGTAGATAACTCTCAGTGTCTGCATTGCAAACCATAATGCTCAAAAGCAGAGAGAGATTATGGAGAATATTATCTGCCATGGAGGCAGGGAGAGGGAAGGGGGGGGGGTATTCCGGGGATATTGGTGGTTGGGAATGTGCACTGGTGGAGGGATGGGTGTTTGATCATTGTGTGATTGTAACCCAAACATGAAAGCTTGTAACTATCTCATGGTGATTCAATAAAATTTATTATTTTAACACTGTCCTCCCATTGTTCATTGATTTGCTCGAGCGGGCACCAATAACATCTCACAACAAATTGTGAGACTTGTTTTTACTGTTTTTTGGCATATTGAATATGTCAAGGGTAGTTTGCCTGTCTTTGCCATGCGGGCGACATACTCTCAGTAGCTTGTCGGGCTCTCTGAGAGAGGGGGAGGAATCGAACCTGGGTTGGCTGCATGCAAGGCAAACACCCTACCCACTGTGCTATCGCTCCAGCCCCCCCCCCCCCAAAAAAAGTCCATCATCTTGAAGGGAGCCTTTTGATATCCGTGTCCACCTGCATTTTCTCCCCCAAAAAAGGTATTTTAATTGGAATGAATTAGGAGCAGGGGCTGCGAGGAGAGGTTCAAAACTCGCCTTTACAAAATAATCATCTCCCTACAGCCATCTCACTTCCTAATGGTTGTAAAGTCTGATAGTCAAGACTCACTTCCAGGTGGGAGATCAAATATAAGCACCTACGGACCCACAGATCAATCGTTTCTGCTTCAACAATGTTACCTGAATTTATTCAAACCCCTCCCCCACCTACAAACAAAAATCTGACTTCTTTACATAAAGGGGTCGTAGCAGAAGATAGTGCTCCAGATGTTTATAGTGTGCACAGGTTAGAACTCACAATGAAACAAGTTTTGCATGTGACGTCAGGAGAGCACACTGAATTCTACAAAGGTTTTGCAGGATCAAGCTGCGATGCTGAGAAGGGCGCAGTTAACTGTACTCATGAGTGTCCCACGCCATCTAGCGTCCCGACCCTGCTGATGCATCCACCCTGTGGGAAGTAGCAGCCCTGCGTTCTGTTTCTGTGAATTTCGGGGCCTCTGTCTCCTCTTACCAACATACTAAATTACACACAGAGTGCTTGACCCATTAAACTAAAAGACCCGATGTTATCTTCAAAAAGGAACAAAGGAAATACTATCTTCAAGTGGAGCCCTTACATCCCGGGTTCCTTTGTTCTCAGACCTCTGGAATACCTGGGCAGCATCGTGAACAGCAACTTCTCCACCTTCCTCTTCTCCGCCATCAGCTGATTGGTCCTCTCTGCCACCACTTCCTCCAGGTGATTGGCGTAAACTTCCAGCTTGCTTGCCATACTGTCCAGTATACTAACTCGGCTTTAAGAGAACCCAGACATTGACGTCTTTTTCCAAGAATGTTAGGGCCACATAGAGTACAACTTCCAACTCTATATTCCAAGAAAACATGCCTAGCCCTAAGGCAGACCAATGGACTGCCCACAGATAGCAATGAAATGCCCGAGGACACGAAACCCTATGAGAGGACTGAGCCTGTTTATACCAGCTCTGGGGGCCAGAGAGCCCCTTTCACAGTTCAGACCCCTTAGTTGACTCATTTGGAAAATGAGTTTAATAAGACAGACCTTGGGGGGTGTTCAAAAGATAAGGCTCTGGGTTGATTTGGCACCAACACACGGTGGTTTTCAGGAGCCCCCTACCACTTCTCAACCTGCTGCATATCATCATGATGGTCAATTGAAAATGTAGATTTCAGGGAGGGGGGAGGAGGAGGGGATACTTGTTTCCTTTTCAGATGACATGCATAACAAAAAGAAGAGTCTTCAGGGAAAAAAATGCTTAAATTCCTTTTAACCTTAGAGGATCACACAGAAAACAGACTTGCTTTAACATGAGGACTGTAGTTGCTAATAATAAACCCTGGCTTATCAACTGACCGGAAACAGAGCCCTTGAAATTAATTTGATGTGGCAAATGCAGTGTAGCAGCTACTGTATTGAGAATGCACAACTGACCAGGCAAGGGAGGAACAGATGCTTGATTCCAGCCCAGGCTCCTGCTGCCAACTCTGCCAACTCAACCTACTTTTCCCTAGTCCATGCCTGCAGAGAATCAATGTGCCAAAAGACGATACAATTATCTTTGAAGAAAATGGTTCTTAAGGCATATATCAAATGAAAAAGCCAACGCTAAGATTGGTGAATAATCTCTTATCCCACAGTATAAGACCAATTGATATATCATGACCCTTGAAGAGCTGATTTGAAAAGCACCATAAGGACAATATCTAAATTCCCAAAAAAAGAAGTCTGAGGTTGATTCATGATGTCTCAAATGGGCAAAAACAGGCCCATGGAGAGCCAGTGTCTGATCCGTGTTTATGACATCTATGGAACGAAGGGACCTCATGCTGCACAGTGCTCTGTGTGTCACTGAGGGAGTGTGTGACTGATAAGTGAGTGAAAGAGCTAATGAATGAATGAATGAATATACAAGTGAACGAATGAATGAATGCGACGATGAGCCACACAGAGCCTATCACAACTAGGTAGTTTTAAGCTTCCAGTGCTAATTATTCGGGGAAAACATCGCGTTTGTTGTTAGAACTCACCCTTTGGGACTGGCTTCTCGCAACATTTTCTTGATCAAAGGGAAAGTGGGTCTTTTCTCTGGAGATTCATCCCAACATGCCTTTATCAGAACCAAAATCTTCTCATTGCTCTTCTCCTCTGGCAGGGAAGGTCGTAGTGGAACTGATGCCCCAGGGTCTTTGATGCGGCTGATGATTTCTGAAATTCATTTTGGGCTTTTATATCCCAATGTCTGAATGATGCACCTTTCACTACACCCCACCTGTAACCCAAGTGTTGTCAAATTTATAGTGAGCTTTAGACTCAATTGAATAGATTAGAATCATCAAGGACTATGAATATTTTAATAGAAGTATTCTGAATCCCCCTGGAAAATGTAAATTCCTAATATATAAAACCCTTTAAATTTTTTATTTCTTACTGTTCTCTTTTACAGTATTCCTAAGAGAACTTTTCCTTGAAGCAAAATTTTTCTCTACAGCATTCTAGGAGTTTACAAACATTTGATGGTGCAAATCCCCAACATGTGTTTTCTATTATTATGTTCTATTAAAGTTACTTTTAACACATAAATGTTACACCATTACCTGCATTTTATCTTACTTTATAAACCTACTTTCTATCACTATCTCTTTGGTTGCTACCAACGTCCATTAAACATTGTGTTTGCCAAGTTTTGTGAGGGAAATGAACTTTTAAGAATGATGCTTCTATGCCCAATTCAATCAGCTAATCAGTGGCTGAATAAATAGCAGTACTCCTACATTTAAAAAAAAAGAATGATGCTTCTAGGGACTGGAGCGATAGCACAGCCGGTAGAGATTTTGCCTTGCACATGGCTGACCCGGGTTCGATCCCCGGCATCCTATATGTTCCCTGAGCACTGCCAGGAGTAATTCCTGAGTGCAAAGCCAGGAGTAACCCCTGAGCATTTCTGGGTGTGACCCAAAAAGGAAAAAAATGTTAAAAAAATGATGCTTCTGTATTTCCATAAAAAACTACTTATATGACAATGCAAATGAATCCCAAATGGCTGTCATAAATATAAGGAGCTACTTATAACAAGCTTCCTACTATATCAGGGGTCTTCAAGCAGAAGTTCACACTGTAGAAATGTCAAAGGCCACTGGTCTACTACCTTGGTCATAACTTCCTGTCCACAGACCAGCATACAAGACAAGTGCCAGTGTGCAGGGTTTAAAAGGTTGAAATATACTATTATATGATTGTGTTTAGATGCCTTTCCAGGAAAGGTAAAACTAGAGAAAGAAAACAGATCAGAGACTTCCAGACATTTGGGGAGGACAGAGAACTCAATGGGCAAAATACCATGAATTATATTTTAGGATAATTAAACTATTCTGCCTGATACTGTTGTGTTGGATATATGATGCTATATTTGGTGTTAGAAATATGACATTCTGTTTATGGTGTTGGATGCATGACATTCTATTTGTAAAGTATTAGAGCACAAAGTGGGCAGAGAGGAATACATTTCAAATACATCAATTGAGAGAGTGGAGTATGCACAGAATGTATATTATTATCAAAAGAATTTCCCTGTCTGTGTGACATTACTCCCTGCAAGGGGTTGGGGGGGGGGGGGGAATGAATCTCCCACTTCCAAAAGGGCTAGAGGCCGTGAGACTACAGAGACTGTTCACTGCCACTGTGTTCTGGAAGGAACAGGCTTCTCCCAGGAGCACAGATTACTAACACTAAAACTACCACACATGGATGGGATTGAACAAGCAAGTAAATGGAGAATGGGGATTGGAACTGTGATCCTCACCGCTGGAAAGGTAGGGGCTGATCAGCAACAGAAGAAAACAAGGATGGTTGAGAAGATGATTATGATGTTAGGGAGTTCAGCATGAATCATTGTTTAACATATGTAGCTACAGATGGATAGGTATGGGTATAGATGTAGATACAACTAGAGATAGCAATGCCATAAACAGATCACAGAAATACATAGAGAGGCTAGCTACAGATAGATAGGGTGCTATATACTCATTTACGCTTTTTTTTCTTCACTTTTCACTAAAAAGCGATTGAAGCAAGAATATGCCGGTGACAATCAGCACAAGCAGTGACCAAGATTGGGTTTCTTTTGCATTCTTTTTAAGTTTGGGGGCCACAACTAGTGATGCACAGAGATCATTTTTATTCATGCTCAGGGAACCATGCAGTGCTGGGGATTGAACCGGAATCTCCCGCATTGCAGAGCCTGGTCTTGGTCCATCAGGTTCCCTATTCAGCCCCAGATATTTAGTTTCTAATTTTAATCTCTAGTCATATGAGCCAGGACTCCTTGGAGAAATGGCTTTGATACAGTATGAGAACAGGGGAAATGCAGACTGCAAGAGTATGTTATACTACAAGACAACTAGGCAGTAAACAGAACAAACAACAGACAGTGACAGTTACATGGGAGCTGGCTGAGAATGAATATTCAAAGATGAAATCAGAAAAAATTAGTACTAAATTATAACCCAAGGTATAAAATAAATATGCAATAAATAATATTGTTGTACGTACATGACTGACAGAATTCAATACAGATAGATGGGTGGATATCAATGATAGATAGAGATATACTTGGGAGAAAATAGATAAGCTTTCCACATAGGCAAATCCCAAATCCCTACTGGGCTATTCTCCAGTCAGTGCAGTGAGCTAAACTCTCCTCTCTCCGTGTGACTTCACCTAGCATCTTCCTTCTTAAGAAGACAGTAAAAAGATCAGAGAGTATAGCAGGTAGGGCACTTTTTCACATGTGGTCCCCAAGCCCAGCCAGGAGTGAATCCTCAGCACAGGATCAGGAGTAAGCCCTGAGCACAACTGGGTGTAGCCCTCAAACAAACACAAATAGGCAGTATGGCAAGAGGAGGAATCATAAGTCATTTTACAGAGAAAACTGACAACCTTTATTCAAGAGACCAAGGTCAACATCAACAGTGACAGTATGTGCCCTTGATTTAATGTGATAAAAATGATCACTTACCTCTGTGTTCTTCCTGACAAAGCTATAAAACCCCAGAAAAACCAGGTAAGGAGTAGGGACAGAGGAGGGGAATCAGACAAACATCAATGTTCTCCTACACACTTAACCAAAACTCCTCAAGAGCATCAACATCATAAAGTCTACAGAAAGTCTACGAGACTGCCCCAGAGGAGCCCAAAAAGACATGGCAGGTAAGTGTTATGGAGTTTGGGTGGGATCCTTGCTCAGAAAAGGGATATTAGGCTAAAACCAAAGGCAATCTAAAAGGAGTAAAACCTTTTGTTATTAACATTAGTTGAAGTTCTAAATGCAACTTACAAAACTGAATAAAACATAATTTTATTTCTATAAATCTTTGTATTTTTCCTTAAGTGTACATGTTTACTGTGTTTGGCATATCGAATCTCGGTAGCTTGCCGGGCTCTAAGGCCTGAAAATACATGAAATAATATGCTTGAACTGAGTTTACCAGAAGGGTGTGGTGGTGGTGTAGACAGGAGACATTGGTCAAAAAACACTGATATTCTTGTGGTGGGTGTGGCGAAGGAACATTATATACCTGAACATTTCTTATTACCACTGTATGGTAAATCATGGTCTCTGAATAAAATTGTAGGAAAATGAAAGAGAGAAATACTGAGAGATATAGAGAAAGGATGTGAGAGAGAGAGAGAGAGAGAGAGAGAAAGAGAGCGAGCACCTGTCATTAAGATAGACTTGGGGAAGGGAGTAGTTGGAGGGGGTGGGAAACTGGGAAATGTGCATTGATGGAGGGATGGGTGTTGGAACACTGTATGACTGAAACCCAATCATGAACAGCTTGTTAATGAGCTATCTCACAGTGATTCAATTAAAAATAATTTTTTTAGTTGTACAGGGAAAAAAGGAGAACATACCGTGAGTAATAAAACTTGACTTCCCAAATAAAATAATTTGAAACATAGAGCAACAATGGTTTCAAAAGTTCAGACTTCAGCATTAACTACGCTGCATCTGTGTTTTTTTCCTGTGTTTCCCTTTTAAGAAAAGCCGTGAAAATTCAAAAGATTTCTCCTCTTTCTCTATATCACTCATCAATACATCCAATATTTATTGATGTGCCCGGCACTAAAATAACGGGCTACAATAAAGACCAAGACAAGGGGGTATGGTGACACCAGCAGGTAATCTGTACCTGTGAGGTGAATACATCAGCAGCCTGATGGCGCCTTCAGACTTCCAGATACCCCAAAATTGCTGCTGTGCCTTTGGCCAGACCCCAAAAACTCGGGGCAAAGTTTACCAAGAAAGTAAATGGCCAAAAGTTAGGTATGTGGGAGACACACCCACAAGCCACCTCCGGCTCAACTATATAATTGGAGGCCTGGCCTCTCTGGTTCCTGATTGAACTGCTTAATGGCCATGATCCCAGAGACTCAGAAACAAATCTCGAAACCCAAAGGCTTTTGGCAGAAATGCGTCCAATCCCTGCAGTAGGTTACCGGCACTGAGCCACCCCAGGTCGGAATAGGTTTCGTGCCTTGGCCTGTTCCCCCTGATGGCCCAGTGGTCGTCATCCTCCTGAGGCTACTGGACAGTCAGGTTTGGGCCCACAGTGACAAGACACGCTGGCCCTCACGGGATGGGGATGGAGTAGGCCCTTTCCTCCCCACCCCAACAAGATCCCAAGTCACCGCCCACAAATAGTCTCTCTGGTTCCTGATCAAGTCGCTTAATGGCCATGATCCCCGAGACTCAGAAACGAATCTCAAAACCCAGTGGCTTTTGACAGAAATGTGTCCGGACCCTGCAGTAGGTTACTGTCACCGGGCCAACCCACGGGGGTAAGGGTGCTGTCCTGCTCCCCCTTGGCGGCTCGGTGGCGGCCATTCGCCAGAGGCCATTGGGCAGTCAGGTTTGGGCCCTCAGAGATGAGACACATGTGGCCTCACGGGATGGGAGGAAAGCCGGCCCTTTCCTCCCCATCCCAATGAGGTCGTGAGTCGTCACCCACAAACGGCCTCTCTGGCGCCTAATCAAGCTGCTTAACAACCATATTCCCAGAGACTCAGAAACAAATCTCGGAACCCAGCAGTTTTTGGCAGAAATCCCTCCAGGTTTAAATGTTAAAACTTTGGAATTTCAAAATCGCACGGCCACTATTGCAGCCACGTGACACCATATGTTATTCATAACTACCAGGAGCGATAGCACAGCGGGTAGGGCGTTTGCCTTGCATGCAGCCAACATGGCCGCCCCGAGTTCGATTCCTCCGCCCCTCTCGGAGAGCCCGGCAAGCTACCGAGAGTATCTCGCCTGCACGGCAGGGCCTGGCAAGCTCCCTGTGATGTATTCGATATGCCAGACACAGTAACAACAAAGTCTCCAATGGAAACGTTACTGGGCCCGCTTGAGCAAATCGACGATCAACGGGAGGGCCTTTACTTTACTTACTTTACTGCCTTTTCAGCAGATCTGAGTGTTGGGGTAAAATCCCAAATAATAATGGTGGGTCTGGTGTCGAAATATTGAATGTAATCAAAGTAGAGAGAGAGTAATGTGGAAATCATCTGCCCCACAGGTAGGGGGAGGGTGTGGGATGGGGGTATACTGGGGGTTTGGGTGGTAGAGAATGGGCACTGGTGAAGGTACAGGTGTTTCATTGTATGACCGAGACTTAAACCCAAAAGCTTTGTAACTGCTCTCACGGTGATTCAATAAAATTATAAAAAATGAAAAAAAAAATAAAGACCAAGACAGATGAGAGTTTTGTTCTTGCCAATTTCATTTCCCAGAGAAGACAGCCAAGGAAGGGAATAATGACAGACTGAAGGAGAGAGATTCGGAGACAAAGATAAAACTCAGAAAGGAAATTAAGCCGGGATTTACACTGTCCAAGAACAGGAATACATTACCTAGCTCTGCAGAGCCAGCAACACCATTCCCCAGCCATGCAGAGACAGCCTGTCATCTAGAACAGCTTCTCAGTGCCTCTGACATGGTTAGTGGCTTAAAACAGACCCCTGCAACGGTCTCTGAGAACATTTCGGGGCAATCCATTCTTTGCCCTTTTTAAATTTGGAGCAGTATTTAAGAATGAGCATTTCACACCTGTCCAAGAATGCAGAGGCTGCCAGACCAAGGCCCACACTAGCTCACAGCTCTCAAGGTCTGGTTCAGCCTCGTCACCTGGCAACTGGTGACAACATATTCCCAGATGTGACCTCAGATTTACTGAAATGGAAACCCAGGGACAGGAGATAGAAGCTCTGCTTTTCAACAAGCCTCTGGGTGACTGAATCTGACCCACCCAGAGTATCTGATTGACTCCACGCCCAGCACCAGACTATCTGCAGGGAGGCAGGAGGTTGGTATAAGTGTGTTTGTCCATCTACTAGGTGCCCATGGTCCTCTTTCTGGCTGCAGTCATCACATTTGTGATCTCTTGTTCCCGTAACCCCTGGACACTAATATCAAGGGCCACCAAGGTCTTACAGCCCATTGAAGGATTTAGTTTTCATTTTCCAAAGGGGATTGAGTATGAAGGTAGAGAAGTGACTTATTCTGATCCACTTTCCAAATAAATTGCATTGGCTGTGGGTTGAGAATAAGTGATGAAATTCTGAGTTCCTTGGTTTGGGGTAGAGGGGCACACCCAGTGATGCTACTCCCAGTAAATGCTTGGGCAACATGTTGTGTCAAGGATCAAATTCAGGATCTCACCCACCCAAGGATCAAACTCAGGGCCTCATTCAAGCAAGGCAAGTGCTCTGCTACTGAGCCAACTCTCATCGAGCGCCACCTTGATGACATTTTTAACCACAATGCAATTCATGTTCTCATTTGGGAAAATCACAGGACTTTTAAAGATATGCATGAGAATTGAATCAAAGGCAAAGTTCTAACCATTCCACAACACAGTACACAAAAACACATTTCAAAACCAGAAAACAAGACCAGAGCCCACGCGGATGAGTCAGTGCTCCCCAGCCTTACCCTCTGGCCTCTCAGTGAGTTCATCAAATGGTCCATGACCTTGGGGGTGGATCAGCTCCCCCATCACAATGGCAAAGCTGTAAACATCTCCCTTCGGGGTGCCTGACCAGGGTACTTCTGAGAGCCTCAATAGTTCTGGGGCTGTCCAATAGAGCTCTGCAATGAAAGGGGTGTGGGCATGGAGTCAGAGCTACCATCAATATAGAAAATGATCCCCACATTCTCAGGGAAACACGGAAGAAATGTGGGTGCCCCCATCCATCAGCTCCACTGTACTAGATTTAAAGAGCAAATAAGGTGCAGGGAGGCAGCTCTGTGGCAAAGTGGTGTGATGCCAGAGGCTGGATTTGATCACCAGAATTGGCCCCTACTTCCCCCCCACACACACACACAAACAAATTAGGGGCCCATGTAAGTAACTAGAGAGAATTCACTGGGATGTGCACACAGGAACACATGGGCACTGGAGAAGCAGAACTGTACAGCTAAAGGGAATTTCATTTCCTTTCCCTTTTCTGTACAGCCCATAATTGCAAAGTCATGTATTGAGGCATGATTCGTAGAACCCAAGATGAACCAGTTTATTCATTTATTTATTTTTTTGGGGGGGGGGCACAGCTGACTGTGGCTCAGGGCTTTCTCCTGGACCTGCATTCAAAGCTCACTCCTGGCTGTTCTCAGATGGACTCTATGGGGTACAAGGGGTCAACCTAGGTCAGCTGCTTGCAAGGCAGTGCCTTACCAGCTGTGCTATCTCTCCAGTCCCAAGATGAACTGTTATAAACTGAACACCACCTAGATCTTCTGCACATATTTGGCCATCACATCTCTCAGGTTCTGGAACATTTCCACCCCCAAAGTCAAACATTGTACTAATGAGGCAGTTTCTCCCCACCCCACTCCTCTAGTTCTTGACAACCACCAGCCAACCTATTCTGAAAGACCAATCTAGTAATAGTTCGTAACCTATTTTTTCCCAATGAGTCATATAGATTTATTTCACTAAAAAAAAATAGTGGAGAAGAGAGAAGAATTTTACCCCTTGTCTATTCCTAGCAGACACCCTTGTCTGTTCCTAGAAGACACCCCTTCCCCATCCCATGTGGTATTCAAGACCCATACATTTCACCAGGTGGTTGCCAACAGGCTACATGATGTCAGCAGAGAAGTTAGAATGGAGGGCTCTGGGTCCCATAAGTCTGGAATACACCAGAGATGATTGCACTCAGTTACTCTGAAGCAGCACCCAGCCTCCTTTTGCTTATGTGGAAGAAGGGTGTTGCCTTGGCAAGGTGTGTTCTGTCTTAATATGTACATCAGAATCTGGAAGCACTTGTGAGCTTTAAGAAGTAAAATCAGTGTCTCAAGTAGGGCATTTGCTCTGTAAGTGCATCCCGATATGGTCCCTTGAGCACCACCAGGAATAATTCCTGAGTGCACAGGCAGGTGAAAGCCCTGAGCATCTCCAGACATGGCCCCCATACCGGAAACCATGAAAGAAGTAAAATCAATAGAGGGCTAGAGGGATAACTAAAATGACTAGAGCACATGCTTTGCTTTCCAGAGTCCTAGGTTCAATTCCTGTACCACATGGCCCTCAGAGCACTGATAGGAGTATACCCCTAAACTGAGAAAAGCCCCCAAGTACCCCTGATTGTTTCCTAAAAACAAAACAAAAACAGAAATCCAAATGCCCAGGCCCTTTCTTTAGATCATTTTATGCAGTTGGAAGAGGGTAGCACCCAACCCACCTACACATTGTTCAAAGCTTGTCAGGGAGAGATATGAGAACGCAGAAAGGATGGAGAACCACTGTCTTCAACGAGCTTGGCAAATGGGACATTCTAACCTCTGAACACAAACAGGAGGTGCGAGGGGACCCAGAGGACAGAGAGAGGCAGTGACTGGCTTCCACTGACTCAGCTGCAAGTATTGAGAACCAGTGCTCCAAGTTCAGATGCTTCAGGGTAGATTTTCCCTCCTCTCCTTGAGTAAATAGGATCACCCCCATCCAACCAGCTCCAAAGGAAGGCACACCCCCCACTGTGCAGGTGAGTGTCAGCAGGGAGAGACAGACTCAGCAGTCACAGTGAATAAAACTGCCTGGGCTAAGGAGCCCCCTTCCCCACCCTGCAGGTGTTCCTGGGTGATGCTCTGCCAGTACTTACCTGACTGGCCCGTTGGAGTCTCCTGTGCACTTCTGCACTGATGGCCATACCTGAGCTCCCACAGCCCGAATCCTGACAGCTTCACCTGCAGCCGCCCATCCACCAGGCAGTTGGAAGGCTTCAGGTTACCATGGGAGCCCAGGGGGCTCCCGTGGAGGAACAGCATGCCCTGAAAGAGTCCACAGAAGTGTGCATCACCTTCCCTGTGGAAGAAGGAGTTGCCAAGGAAGCAGAACTGATGCCCAGACATTATCCTGGAAGAGATACATGGACCCACACAGAACAAACCAGCAGAGGGAGGGAAAGTAATGCCCCTCTCCATCACAAATGCAAAAATCCATAAACAGAGCCCCCCCCCCCCATGCATGGAGTAAACCTGGGCAAGGATCCCCAAAATACAAAAAAGTATTTCTTGCCTCTCAGGGTTGATCCAAGAAGGCACTATTGGTTTAAAGTTAAGTTAGCCTAGTGGTCAGTGCTGACTTTCCATTCCAACTCTTCCAGGGAATAGAGGACCAGCTACTCTACCATGTGATCATCATGCTTGAGTCAGAACAACAGATATGACAAAGGTCGCTACTTTGTGGGCTCAGGACAGTGACATGTTGGTCCTGAGCATAATGCAGAATCACCCCCACTGTTGCATCTAAGGAATCATTGGTTCAAACATAAAGAACCCCCACAACAGAAAACCAGGCTGTGGAATGAAGAATATTGTTTGATACCCTCCACACCATGAATTCTATTCTGCTCCTACTATGGAGAGTAACTCAACAGCCATAGAGCGTTATGCTCAATGATCTGAACTCAAGGGTTCTGTTTGAGTCCTTTGAAGGAACAACAAATCAAAATGGAACCTAGAAGTTACTATGTGCTCTCTGTGTTGTTATGGGGTGACATCTATTAGTACCACACAGTGCCACAGGGCCTGTATTGATGGAGTCTGGGGAGAACACAGAGTTGCGAGGAAGGCATGTATTCAAGGCTAGACAGAACTACTTGGTTTCTTCAAAAAAGTCCCTTCACACCACTGGGCCTCCTCATATCTGCCTCAGCCAGGAGATATCAGAGCAAAAGGGTCAATGATGCTGCCTCTTTCAGGGATTTACCTGGTTGCTGTGGTGGCTTTTATGCTCACGCATGCCAGATAGCAATCTAAACTCCTCACTTACACTTCTTACTTGTGACCCTGTGGAAGGAGGAGTTGCCACAAGCCTCCATTTCCAGGCAAGAAAAGGGAGGAAAAGGGAATGAACTTGGTCCAGCTCAGCTGGCTGGTAGGACAGCTGGACCTGGAAGTCCACAGTCTGATTTCCAAGTTCATGCCCCTGACTAACTGTTCAATTGTCCCTCAGAAGATGAAATGCCCCTCCGAATAGCAGAGCACAGCAGTCTTTCATTTTAGCCACGGGTTCCATGGAAATTCATTGAGTGATAACGCTTTTGGGTAAACAAAGACATAAACCAAAACCTTTTCTTGAGAAAGGGATGATGTAGATTTTGGATAAACAAAGACATGACCGTAAACGTTGAGGATTTTGCACTGTACAAGGTACTTTATCTTTACCACTGTTTAACCTTTCCTGTGCTTGCTTAATGCATGCTGCTTCACCATAAAGTCAGGACTTTAAACTGCGTCTAAGAGACGTGCCCAGCTGGGCTACAACCCCAGGTTGAGCTGCCTTTGAAACACTTTAGATGTTACTGATTCTGGGGTCCTGGGGGTTCTGGGTGCATGACAGGAGTTTGGTTTCAGCTCTTTCTCTAGTGCAATTATATAAGTACAGCTCATTGAAGGTGAGGTGGGGACAGAGGTCACCCCAGGGTGGGACTGTGAGGAAGCACTGGCCCTCAATGACGCAGGAGCTCAGGAGCCATATGAGAGGCTTTTGGAATTGCCCTTTGCTCTGGGTAGGGTCCCTGAGCATCTTGGGCACCAGCCCAGGATCACCACTTCCTTTGGAAGTAATGGCAGGCTGAGTCACAGAGCCCTGAATCAACATAGCTTTAGAAACAGACCCGACAGAAAGTAATCAGAAATACTCTACACACCCCTCCCTCCCACTTCCACATCCTGAAAAATCAGAAAGCTATGTTCCCTTATCAATATGACTTGCTTTTTGTTTGGTTGGTTTTGGTTGTTTTTTTTTCTGAAATAATAAAGTTGAATCATATTTTGGAAATAACCCACCAAGTTGGACCTGGAAGTACCTAGAGGAAGTAGCCTATGAAATTTCTTCACCATGACTCCAGCAGCAGGTGGAGTCTATGATTGAGTCTATGATTGAAATCCTAAGGAGACTTGGGGAGTCCTCGAAGTTTTCTCTGACCTGACAGCAGTCACCTAGTGGGGAAGATCAGTGGGTACATAGGTAAAGAGCTGGGTAAGTAGGATCACCCTGTCCCACCAGCTCCAAAGGAAGGCCCATCCCCACTGCGCAGGTGACATCAGCAGGGAGAGACGGACCCAGCAGTCAGATCCTCCTCAGGGAGGGTCCCTGACACTCACAACTGTGGCTGTCTTTACTCACTCCAGGTTCTTCCAGGCAAGAAACATTCTGCTTGTCCTGTCCACTAGATGCCCTGGTTGCGCTATCCCATTAAGACACAAGTGACATCTATGTAGGTATGTTGTCCTCTCTAAGCAAAGGCAAGAAGACACACGTCACTTTGTTATTTTTGTCCAGATAGAAATGTGTGATCATATATTTATTAACATAGGACAAACACACTTTGGGCAATGCTGTTTGCTACTCGCCAGCCTGTTTTATTTCCCAACAGGAAAGTTGGCGTGGCCCAGGGAGGTCCTATCTCTGGATTCCACATCTGTGCTCTCTGGTATTTGGCAGGGAGGAAGTAGAGCTGGTAAAAAAGAACTTGAATTGCAGATAGGCTCAAACTCCCAATCTTTTCTGTACCTTGCTAAGCCTCATTTTATTCCATCTTGAAAATGGGGTAAATAAGAATATTAATATTGGCATTAATTTGAGGTCATATCTAATTACCATAAGCACAATTCAATAAAAAAAATATAAGTCCCAGTATATGTATTACTTTGTTGACTAAACAGGTGAAATAAATTTGAAAGACATTATTTAAGCCCATCTATTTTCAATTTTTATTATTCTAATGTGGAGTCAACATAGAAGTAGTAGAGATTGTTTATATTCTTTTCTTAAAAAAAATGTTATTGGGCCTTTAAATGATTAACTTATATTTACAACACATCTCAAGTGGTCACCTACTGATGACCACTAACTATGTAGTTACCAGTAGGTTTGGCAGTCATATTTGTACAGTGCAGATACATCACAAATGCTACTACTAATAATCTAGCAATTATTGTTTAATGCTACCAAGAGCATCCCGCCCGCATGGCAGAGCCTGACAAGCTCCTTGTGGTGTATTCGATATGCCAAAAACAGTAACAAGTCTCACAATGGAGACGTTACTGGTGCCTGCTCAAGCAAATCGATGAACAAAGGGAGAACAGTGCTACAGTGCAAGAGATACTTATAATGGAGAGTCTATGGGCACCTATTATGCAGCATTTTACATACCTTGTTTTCGTATCACCTTGTGAAGTAGTAATTGCTGTTATCTTTATTTAGCTTTTTATTTATATTTCAGGGGCAAGCACATGTCATGGTACTCAGAAGCTTTTCCTGGCTTTGTGCTCAGGAGTGACCCCTGGAAGTGCTCCAGAGACCATATGTGGTGCCAGGGACTCAAACTGGGGCCAGCTACATGCAAACTAAATTATTTAAACCCTGTACTGTTGCTCCAGCTCTCTTCTCTTTGATACACAGACAGACTGAGGATCAGAGTAGAAACAGTCCTCAGATCAGTAAATTGGAGCGACAGAATTCAATGACCCCAAGACATCCTCTTTGCCAAAGTACCTACATCTATATCCCCTCAAGAGCCCTCTTGGTTAGAAATGACGTTCCATCTTTATGCAAAAAGAGTCATGCTTTCCAAAGCTTGTTCTTGACTGTTGGGCTAAGTTATTTGGGCACAAGACACTGAGATTTGTTTCTCTCCCTTCTCTGCCTAGAACTGGTTTGACCCAATAGTTCCATCCATACTCATTTGCTGGTTTGACAATTGAGCAGCATCTCAGAATCTCTCTGGTTCTGAATATAAAGGAGGAACTGATGGACAATGGAAGGGGAGAGAAGCCGGGAAGAGGGAAAAAGCTCCATCACCTCCTCCTAACTTACAATCATTCCACGGTCTCTGAAATAATTCACTATACACAGCATGGCAGGTCCTAGAGTAACATTGCTTCATTCCATGTCACAACTCTGGTCAACTAAGCCACAGGATTCAAGGACCTTCTTTCATTAGACATCATTTCACTTGAAGTCCCAGCATACAAGAATTTGCAAACTGTGTCAAGTCAGGACTAACTATACATTTCCTGGTTGCTTTTTAATTTTTTTTTTCACCAGCAAAATTTTAAGCAATTTAAAGCTGGAAACAAGGGGTCCAAGGATGTGTCTAGTGCAGTGCCCATGTTACAGGCATGAGATAAAAGGTGGAACCCCACCACCACCCACATCACTGAGTGTGATCCCCGGCACTGCCAGTGTGATCACTGTGTCCCAAAAGTTCAAGAAGAGGTACAATGCCACAAATGTATGAAAATCCCACAACCAAGTACATGAGCCTCACAAATAAATGTGCAACCTCTGAACACTGCAGCTGTCACTGTCACTGTCCTCCCGTTGTTCATCAATTTGCTTGAGCGGGCCCAGTAACATCTCCATTTTGAGACTTGTTGTTACTGTGTTTGGCATATTGAATATGTCATGGGTAGCTTGCCAGGCTTTGCCGTACAGGCAAAACACTCTCGGTAGCTTGCCGGGCTTTCTGAGAGTGGCGGAGGAATCGAACCCAGCTCGGCTGGGCTGGCTGCATGCAAGGCAAACGCCCTACCACTGTGCATAACACTGCAGTACCCAAAGAAAAACAAAAGCTCCTGAAAATAAAAGAAATAAAAGCTAGAAAGAAAGAAAGAAAGAAAGAAAGAAAGAAAGAAAGAAAGAAGAAAAGCTCCTAAAGCAGGAAAGGAGTCTGTGTTAAAAGTGCTCAGAGAAGGAAAATTCCTTCACAAATGCTCCCTAACATTTCACTGAATGATGGTGGTGGGCTGGGTTTCCCTGAGTAGTTTCATCCCCTGGGGTGGGGTGGGGTTTCATTTGTACACATTCTTTAGTGATGAGACCAGGCTTTCTACAAGATCTAGAAAATCAGTGTCTCATAAGGCCAGTAAGACAGAAAACCAGAAAACTTAGAAACAAAGAACAACTAAATCATCGAGTTAAAAGGAAAAAAGCAATAAACCTTAGATATTAATCGGACCAACCCTATTAATTAACTGTACGTGGTGACTGAGGTGCAGGGAGGGGCAGGAACATGTCACAGTCACTTGCTGAGTTCTTGGATCTCTGCTCCTGCACAGAATCTATGATTCACCTTGAAACACTCACCACAGCTGGCCAGGCTTGTGCATAGGGACCGAATGGATGTGAAAGGCCTATTGATTGGCAGATGCTGACACCACTTGGCCTGCTGCCCACGTGTCAGACTGAGGGTCTCCCACCCTCCTCCCTACAGCCACTCCCAGGTCACCAGCTCATCCACTTTGATAAGAAAAGAGACCCAGTGAGTGTGGAAAGTGAAATTAGATTTTGGCCCACACTAAGGAAAGCAGCCTTAAAATGCTGGTGGGTCATGAGCCCCTTTCTCAACTGTGAAACAAGGTGGTAATAATGCTATCTGATATTTTGTCTTAATAATTAAGTAACTAGCAATAGCACAGTGGGTAGGGCGTTTGCCTTGTATGAAGCTGACCCAGGTTCAATTCCTCCGTCCCTCTCAGAGAGCCCGGCAAGCTACTGAGAGTATTCTGCCTGCACAGCAGAGCTTGTCAAGCTCCCCATGGCGTATTCGATATACCAAAAACAATAACAACAAGTCTCACAATGGAGACGTTACTGGTGCCTGCTCGAGCAAATCGATGAACAACAGGAGGACAGTGCTACAGACAATTAAGTAAATTAACATGTGAAAATTACTAGGAGGTATGTGGACAAAGTATGCATTCAAAAATTTGATTATTATTACTGTTATGCTATTATTATTATCATTATGATTCAACAGCAACAGTTAATCTTCACCCAAAATAAAGATTCAACCTGCCTAGGGACACAGTAGTAATTCAAAGGTCTGGAACATGTACTAGATATTCTGGACCCCTGGTTTGATCCCCAGTACTACATGATCTCTAAAACAATAGCAGAAATATTGCTAGGTATGGTCACCCCCACTCCAAATTTAAAAATTCTCTCTGCTTGGGGCTGGAGCAATAGCACAGCGGGTAGGGCATTTGCCTTGCACACGGCTGACCCGGGTTCGATTCCTAGCATCCCATATGGTTCCCGGAGTACTTCCAGGGCTAATTCCTGAGTGCAGAGCCAGGAGTAACCCCTGTGCATCGCCAGGTGTGACCCTAAAAGCAAAAATAAAATAAAAAATAAATAAATAAATATTCTTTCTGCTTGTTTACTGACCCAAATGTGCATTGTTAGCCTAATCTTTAGGTTAAGAGTTTTGTGGTTGGTATGGCACTGAACCTCATTTCCTGGGGAAATAAATTGGAAAGTGGAAGGAAGAAGTCTTGCAAATCCTCACCAGTTGACTTCATGGTCTAATCATTAGATTTTCTTTGTGGGAAGAATTTCCAACCCAAAGTATTAATATCCTGCTTTTCCCTGAGTGGGTCAATCTGGACTCCCTTCCAACTTTAAAGTAAAGTACTGCTTGATCATTTTCTTGAGATCAAGATGTGAGGTGGGAAATGGAGCCACCTGAAAGGGTAGATTTAAAAATGAAAGTGCTCTGTTTAGAACAACCAGAATTTTCAGGGGATAATTACAGTTCAGGGCTGGAGCAATAGCACAGCGGGTAGGGCATTTGACTTGCACATGGCTGACCCAGGTTCGATTCCTCCATCCTTCTTGGAGAGCCTGGCAAGCTACTGAGAGTATCCTGCACGCACGGCAGAGCCTGGCAAGATCCCCACGGAGTACTTGATATGGCAAAAGCAGTGACAAGTCTCACAATGGAGACATTACTGGTGCCCATTCGAGCAAATCGATGAACAATGGGAGGATAGTGCTGCAGTGCTAATTAGAGTTCAATATACAGTTCACTACATAGAACAATTAAAATGCACCATTGTATTTGTTCTTTAAGTTTATATAACACATTTACCTTGACTATGTCATATGCAAATGAGAGTTTGAATATCCAATCCATTCCATCTGAGTTTCTCAAAACATCCTGAAAAATATTTATTCAAAAAAATGGCTCTCAGTCACTCAGTTTGAAGTGTGGCACTGATTTGATTTTGACCAGAATACAATTGAGAAGGGAAATCTTCCTATAACTGGAATCACTATTGATAATGTCACATAGGCTTACGCTGTACAAACACATCCTTGTTCTCAGTTTAAAGTGGATGGTTATATACTCTGGAAAGGATGGCCCTGAAATACAATTCAATTCACAAGCAACTGTGACATCAGAGATGGAAAGAAAAAAAACTCAGTTTCCATCCAGAACTAGAGAAACCAGATACTTGGCATCGACACCACTGTATTGATTCCCTTCATGAGGCTCAACATGATCCTTCCATTCTTATAAATAGACAGCAGAGGAGTGTCTTGGGCAATTAAGCAAAAGCACTGACAAGGTTCTCTATTAGCTAATCAAGACTGGGAAACAAGTCGCGGTTTTCGCTTACCTTAAGACTCCCCTTTTTGCAATACTGAGTGACAATGCACATGTTGGGTGGTTCAAGGCAAACACCCAAAAAGTGAACAATGTTTTCGTGCCTTAGTTCATACATCTGAAACGATAATGGTGATAATTGTTTATAAGTCTAGGCTGTCTTCTACACTAGGATAAGGCTATGTGCTTGACATTCTTTTAGTTAACTTTCACAAAGACCCTTTGCGAGAACTACAGCTGATCCCTTTATTTTTTTCTTTTTGGGTCACACCTGACAATGCACAGTGGTTACTCCTGGTTCATGCACTCAGGAATTACTCCTGGCGGTGCTCGGGGGACCATATGGGATGCTGGGAATCGAACCCGGGTTGGCCGCGTGCAAGGCAAACGCCCTATTTGCTGTGCTATCACTCCAGCCCCACTGATCCCATTTTAATGATTCGTCGATTGCCTCGAGCAGGCCCCAGTAACGTCTCCTTTGTCCTAGACCCAAGATTTTTTAAAAAGTGCCATATTCAAGGCCCTTTCAGGGTTAGGAGAATGAGACCCATCATTGTTACTGGTATTTGGCATATTAGGTACGGCACGGGGAGTTTGCCAGACTCTGCCGTGTGGGCAGGTTACATTCAGTAGCCTGCCAGTTTGTCCAAAGTAGGAATGAGATGATAAGATGTCGCGTGGCCGTGAATGCGGCCGCGTGCTTCCGGGAGCTGGTTTTTATAGTCTCTGAGTCTTGGCCATTGATGGGATTACACGGCGCCAGGGGCCCAGTTGGTGGGTGTGACCCCTGCCTCCTGGAATTTGGAGGATCTGGGTGGAGGATGCTCAGCCCCGATCCGAGTAGGCTTGAAGATCTCAGCCCCGGGACTCGCGTGCCTTTGTTCATCTGCCGGTACCTTCATGCGTGCGGAGAGTGGTTTCAGCAAGGTGGTGGCTGGTTCTGGAGGTCTTCGGCTGCCAGAGCCCTGGTTGGGGCGGGGAGGAAAACTCAACCTGCTCCCCTCCAAGGGGCTCCGGTGAGGACAGCCAGGCACGGGGGCAGGAGACTCTGCGCTGTTCTCTTCCGGGAGCTGGGTTTTATAGTCTCTGAGTCTTGGCCGTTGATGGGATTACATGGCGCCAGGGGGCCATTTTAATGATGAAGAAATTTAATTGCTTAAAAGGAAAACTCACTTGGGACTGGAACCAGAGCACAGCGAGTAGGGCATTTGCCTTGCATGCAACTGACCCGGGTTCGATTCCCAGCATTCCATATGGTCCCCTGAGCACCGCCAGGGGTAATTCCTGAGTGCAGAGCCAGGAGTGACCGCTGTGCATCTCCGGGTGTGACCCAAAAATAAAAAAAATTTTTTTTAATTAAAAAAAAAAGAAAAGTCACAAGCTGAAGACATTATGGTGCATTAGTGGTGGACCTGACAAAGTCAGGCGATCTGGGGCTGGAGCAATAGCACCACGGGTAGGGCATTTGCCTTGCACGTGGCCGGCCTGGGTTCGATTCCCATCATCCCATATGGTCCCCCGAGCACCACCAGGAGTAATTTCTTAGTGCAGAGTCAGGAGTAACCCCTGAACATCGCCAGGTGTGATCCAAAAAGAAAAAAAAAAAACAGAGAAAAGAAAGTCAGGCAGTCTGACTTTATCAAGTAAACCAGGAGAATAATCTAAGTCTAGCCTTAACTGCAGGGATTAGCTGAAAGCAAACATGGTAAAGGAGCATCACTGATTCCCAGAAGTTATGAATGTTGATACCAACATGAGGTTCATGGCAGATCATGGATTGGGGGGAGGAAGTCAGACCCCATACCCCTCACTCTTTCCAAGGAATGGATTCCAGGGAGCCCTCAGGGGCATAAGGGATGAAGATGCAGCATTAATGCCATGAGGAAATAGAGAAAAAGAGCAGAGCTAGGAGACAACCCAGGTTTCAGGTGTGACACCTAATGTCTGGGCTGTCAGGGGGCAGGGTAGTGGACCAAGTTTAGGGAAACGGCTCCAAACTTGCTCCTTTGGATTTGGGAACACTACACATTGGTGATGAAGGGTGTTTGGCAGAACAGGATCAGCAAATAGCTGGGCTGCATCTACGAGGGCAGCTAGCAGGAGGCTCACCAGGCGGATTTCCTGTAGCACTGATGGCTTCCTAGCCCAGCCTTCTGCTTGTTCACCAACATAGCGAATGGCCACGTGATTGCCCTGGAAGCAGAGACGAAGGGGAACGTTCTTAATGCGGGATGATCCAGAAAAACTATTACTCAGAAGAAGCCAACAAGGGGAGCAGGAGGACTTACAAAAAATGCACCTTAAAGCCAGACTGATAGCACAGCGGGGAGGACGTTTGCCTTGCACATGGCCGACCTGGGTTCAATCCCCAGCATCCCATATGGTCCCCCAACACCGCCAGGAGTAATTCCTGAGTGTAGAGCCAGGAGGAACCCTTGAGCATCGCTGGGTGGGACCCCAAAAAAAGCAAACAAAAATATGAAATGCACCTCTAGGGGTTGGAGCGATAGTACAATGAGAAGGGTGTTTGCTTTGCACATGGTTGACTTGGGTTCAACCTCCGGTATCCCATATGGTTCCCAAAGCACTGCCAAGAGTAATTCCTGAGTGAAGAGCCAGGAGAAACCCCGAGCATCGCTGGGTGTGACCCAAAAAAAAGAAAAAAAATTGCACATCTCAAAGGCCTGGCCAAACTTCCCCCAGCTCGGCCCTTACACCAGCTTCATATTAGCACAGAAGGCCTCATTCGCCTAGAACTATGCCGTCTTTGGTCTTTGGATCTACTTTATTTCACTTAGCATAGCAATGATGAGATCCATCGGTGTTATTCCATATTCCATATCAGCAGCTTATTCTTTTCAAAGTTGAGTACTATGTAGTTATTACTTAAAAACCTGGCAACGAACAGGCATGATCCCCAAGACTAATTAGACAAGCATGGACTTTAGACCAAGCAAAAGGAAGTTTTTGAAAGTAGATTGGGGAGGGAGTAGAGAGCTTTGAGTTCTTTGCTAAAGAGTGTGTACACCATCATACAGGGAGCAAAGTACAGTGCTTGCCTTGCATGCAACCAACCTGGGTTTGATTCCCAGCACAACATATGGTCTCCTGAGCACTCTGGGAGTACTCCCTGAGTACAGAGCCAGGAGTAAGCCCTGAGCTCTGTCACATGTGGTTCGTTCTTGTTCTCATCCCATCCCCCTCCCCCTCCCCTCCCCCTCCCCCTCCCCTCCTCCTCCCCCTCTCCTCTCCTCTCCTTTCCTCTCCGTCACTGTAAAAAACTCAAGACAAAATACACAGGAATTTCAGTAATAAGGTTTAAAAGAGGGAAGGGGAAACACATTTGGAAATAATAGTAAGTCTAAACTCAGAAATAACATCTGCACTTGTATGTTCATTGCAACACTGTTCACAACCCAGAATCTAGAAACAACCTGAATGCCTGAGAACAGACAACTGATTAAAGAAACGATGGTACATCTACACAATGGAATACTATATATTCCAAAAAAATTCAGTCATGAAATTTACTTATAAATGGATGGACATGGAGAGTATCATGCTGAGTGAAATGAGTCAGAAGGAGAGGGACAGACATAGAATGACTGCACTCATTTATGGGATATTAAACAAAAAGACATAATGTGAGACTAACACGCAAGGTCAGGCTGGTGAGGTGTGGGGGGATTGGAGGGGATAAAGTAGTAGGAGGGACACTGGAGATATTGGTAGTGGGAAATGTACACTGGTGGAGGGATGGGTGTTGAAACATTGCATGACTGAAACCTGATCATGAAAGCTTTGATAATGTGTATCTTATGATGATTCAATAAAAAATTAAATTAAGTATGAATTACTGGGGCTTCCATCTTCTAAATAGGTAGTTGGCCATAATAAACAGTTTTGTGGTGGTCCTTAGAGTGTTAAAAATGGCAAAAGCCCAAGAGGTTTTTATCATTTGAAAACCCAAGTTAATATTTTAAAAATTAAAGTCACTTGCAAAGGAAGAACTTGGCTCCAATATGTGGCTCATAATAAAAGGCAAGAAGCAATTCTTTCTCTGCTTGACATTTTCTGCCACTCTTCTCCAGGACGTGGGTGATTGGAGAGAAATTAAATTTTTCCTTCACATAATTTCCCTCCCCAAGGGGGCTTCAGTACAAGTACAAGCAGTCAGAACATCTGGGATTAGGAAAGGTAGGCAGGAATGTGCTACAGACTTTACAAAGCTGCCACCTGATTCAGTGCAGAAGCACCAGCCCTTACAGCTGAGCCATCTGAGCCCAAATGCTGAGGACAAAAATCAAATAATCCATGCTCAAGGACTGTAGATTCAAGTCTACTATAGTAGCCGTTAGTCCTCAGGGGCGCAACATTGAAGTGAATTCATAGTACATGAAATTTAAAATTCAGTGTGCCAGTCCCATTAATGGTGCATAGAGAAGGGCCACTGTATTAGACAGTGAGCTGGGCATCATTTTCCTCCTTGGAAAATCCTATTGGATACAACTAAATTATCTCACCTGGAAGCTAGCCTAAGAATCACCTGGGAGTTTGATAGAGAAAAAGCGAATTTCAGGTGCCCCGCCCCAAACACACCTCACATCAATCTGCATTTTAACAAGAACCCTAAGAGATTCGCATGCACAGTGAAGATTGAGAAACACCAGACGAGTCAGAAGGTTACCTTGGCTCTTCCCTGGAGAATGTCCCCACCATTCAGAACGATCACCTGACAGAAAGATATGACACAGAACAAGAAGACTCGAAGAACTCCATACCCGCACAAGTACCTGGTAAAGTGCGACTGGGGCGTAAAAGAGTCCGTTCCCAGGCTGGCTCCTTAGCAAGGAGGAGACGTCGGCAGAAACCATCACACTGGACGGGTTACTGGGGCTCCCTCTCGACACAGGCGTGTCTCCTGGGGATGGCTGTCAGACAAGACACCAGGGCTGGGGCTGGAGCGATAGTACAGCAGGTAGGATGTTTGCCTTGCATGCTGCCAATCCCGGTTCAATTCCCAGCATCTCATATGGTCCCCCAAACACCCCCAAGAGTAACTCCTGAGTGCAAAGCCAGGAGTAACCCCTGTGCATTGCTGGTATGACCCAAAAAGAAAAAAAAAGACACAAGGGGGTGCCCTTAAGTCTGGCTATGCACAGGAGAGACTATGCATGTGCAAGAGAGGAGAGTTCCAGTAACTATGAACCTGTCGGGGGAGCAGGCACTTAACCGATACCTCTGAACCCAGCATCACATGCTATCTCATGTGCCTCCCCACACCCCAAATGTCCTACAAAAAAAGGACGAAAAACAGAAATCCTATTAGCTACGTTTGAGAAAGGAGATGGAGAAAAACATTTTGGAAGCTTGACCAGTAGTATTCAGTATAGACTTCTGGCTTCCATCTCTAAATAGGTAATTGACCATAATAAACAGGTCAGTAGAATGGTAGTCCTTAAGTTATTAAGAATGGTTAACGGGCTGGAGTAATAGCACAGCAGGTAGGGCATGTACCTTGTACGCAGCCAACCCGGGTTCGATTCCCAGCATCCCATATGAGCACTGCCAGGAGTAATTCCTGAGCCAGGAGTAACCCCTGTGCACCCTGTGCATCGCCAGGTGTGACCCAAAGAGCAAAAAAAAAAAAAATGGTTAACAGCCCAAGAGGTTGTTCCCTGAACACAGCACACCTGCCTTTTGCCCTTGGACCTCTAAGAATCAGGTGGGGTCAATGCCTCTTTTGAAAACCACAACACCCAAAAGGAGAGAAAGAACAAGAGGGAATGCCCTGCCACAGAGGCAGGGTGGGATGGCGGGGATGGGGGGTGGGAGGAATACTGGGACCCGTGGTGGTGGAAAATGGGCACTGGTGGAAGGATGGGTACTTGATCATTGTATAACCAAAACCCAAGCACAGAAATTTGTAAGTCTACAACTGTACCTCATGGTGTTTCACTAATAAAAATTAAAAAAGATAAAAGAGAAAAAAGAAAAAAAAAGAATCCGGTGGGGGTCAGACTGCCTGTGATTAGGTTGTTTCTGGTGCTGAGTAAGGTCACACCTGATTGCTATTCTTTGAGGATGCCCAACCATGTTACCTCCTTTTCTGCACTTGAGGGGTCTCCCCAATACCCAGAAAATAATTGAGAACAAGGAACTCCAGGTGTCCAGTAGAATCTTGCCTGGTAGAAACCAGGAAGGTGGAACTAAACCAAAAAATCTGGAATCTCTGGTAGGAAAGGAATGTGCAGGAGTTGGGAGCAGACTCTAGCCCACCACTCAAAAAAGAGTCAGGGGCCAAAGCAATAGTACAGTGGGTAGGGTGTTTGCCTTGCATGCAGTCAACCTGGGTTCAATTCCCAGCATTCCATATGGTACCTCAAACACCACCAGAATGCAGAGCCAGGGGTAACTCCTGAGCATTACCAAATGTGGCCCCCAAACCAAATAATAATAATAATAATAATAATAATGATTTTATAATAAATAATACATCAACAAGTTTCACGATGGAGACGTTACTGGGCCTGCTTGAAAAAAAAATAAATAATAAAATTTAAATTTTTTTTACTTTTTTTTTTTTTGCTTTCTGGGTCACACCTGGTGATGCACAGGGGTTACTCCTGGTTCTGCACTCAGGAGTTACTCCTAGCGGTGCTCAGGGGACCATATGGGACACTGGGAATTGAACCCGGGTCGGCCACGTGCAAGGCAAACGCCCTACCCGCTGTGCGAGCAATAGCACAGTGGTAGGGCGTTCGCCTTACAAGCGGCCAACATGGCCAACCCGAGTTCGATTCCTCCGCCCCTCTCGGAGAGCCTGGCAAGCTACCGAGAGTATTCGATATGCCAGACACAGTAACAACAAAGTCTCCAATGAAGACGTTACTGGGCCCGCTCGAGCAAATCAATGATCAACGGGAGGGCCTTTACCTTTACCTTACCTTAAATTTTTTAAAAAGTCATCTTATGATTAACAACTTTGTAAATCAGAGTGTTTAAATTTTTTTGAATGGAGAGGAAAAAGTTATAACTTATTTTTTGAACAAACAGTATATGCGAAATACTATTAAAGGGAGTTTAATAGTCCAAACTGCAATTTTTTAAAATAAAACCAAAAAAACAGAAAAAATATCTGCATTCCTCAGCTTTCAAATTAACCTAAACGCTCAATTGAACATATCTGGGGGAAAAAAGCAACAATGTTCTAGAACATTTTCTTTTTGCCTTGACATCATTAAGAAATGCATATTTGTTCCATTGCATAGTCTGACCCAGTGGTAGTTCTATGCATCTTGCTATTGTTTTCATATCTTGGGCAGCATTTATTCCTAAGCAAGTAAAACCTGAAGTTATAAAATGACTAATTTCACATAAAATTTATGTCAGTGGTGCATCCTTAACAGATTGAGACAAAAGTAAACTTCCCTTGTCCCTTTTCTCCCCAGAAGCCAAGATTTCTTCTTAGTCAAAGTATAGAATTTTAAGTCTATGTTTCTGCTCTCAACAGCATGTCATACTAACAACTCTCATAAAGCAAACATTCCAGAAGAATCCATATGTGCCAAGATCATACTGTTTCATATCAGTAACAAAAGTCAAACAATGGGAAAAGATAAAAGAAAAGAAAGATTTTGCAATTTCTAGCTCTAGAATGTATGAGACAACCAAGGCAGCAATTTTGGAAATGATGCAAACATTTTACTTAGAGTAAATAAGGCCATACTTCTTCACCCTGTACCTCACTCCTGGCCCTGGGCACCCACATTTTGGCCTTCCTTATGTTTGGCATGGCTCATTCCTCTCCCACGGCCCCCACAAACAAGCCCACTCTCCCTCAAAGCCTCCTCTCTGACGCCTTCGGTTTGCAGAAACAGCCACAAGGCTCTGCCTCATCTGGACACACACTGGGGCGCCTTTGTGTCTCTTGGAAGGCACCTCATTTGTGATCTACCCCCATAGTTAGCCTCTATGCTGACCAACAGCATGTAAGTGATGAGCAAATGGACCTTCTCATGTTAACCCTTCACAGTAAAGGCCTAAAAGTGGTTTTGAAAATAAGAGTGTTCCGCTTTAACATTTGAGCTGGACGCAGGGGTTCTCAGACCCACGGGTGACAGAACCAAAGGGAACTTTAGAGACCCCTTGACATTTGGCATTCCTAGAGGGCTTCAGCCAGAAGCAGAAATCGGGGCTCAGGATGCTCAGACAGTGCTCACTCTCTCAAGGAGTCTCCCCAAAGCTCCTGGACAAGATCCCCAAGAGAACAACAGGAAGCAGGAGCTGGACGATCTGGGGTGGAGGGGGCAGAAGAGGGGGGGCACTCACCTTGCTCTGGGGCAGGATAGTGATGTCCTCATAGTTGATTTGCCACCGAATGTCTTTATTTTGCTGCAGCAGCTTTTGCCTCTGCATCCGTGAAAAGAGAGCTCTGAGGACTGCTCCCAAGACGGCAAGCAGGAGGGTGGTTGTGAGAAGCGCAGCCACCAGGCCTGGAGGGCAGAGACAAGCCTTCCTGGAGCAGGAGTGAACTCAGTGCAAGGGTGTGTTTGTGTGTGTGTGTGTGGGGGGTGCAACTTAGGAGACCCTGATCTGTTCTGATGCATTGCCCAGGAATCCCACCCTTCCTCTGGTTCCCATGGTAACTGAACTCGCCAAGTCTTTTGGATAGAAACTTGCATCGGAGAGAAACAAATATGGTAACTTCTCATGAAACAGGTTCTCGGCTCTGACTGTAGTGACAGGCCATCAAGTCCTAGCAATGGGCACCTAACCTCCAACCACTCTGTAGGCCTCCTTCTTTGAAAGAAGCCCCTGGACCCATGATCTCAGAGGCCAGGTTTCCCAAAGGCAGTTCCCCACAAGGGGGCAGGCAGGGTTGGTTCCTAGTGACTATTCGGGAAGCATTTGAGGTTGTTACAAATAGGGATACCAGGGACTAGAGTGAAAGCACAGCAGGTAGGTGTTTGCCTTGCATGCGGCCCACCCGGGTTCGATTCCCAGCATCCCATATGGTCCCCCGAGCACTGCCAGAGTAATTCCTGAGTACAGAGCCAGGAGTAACCCCTGAGCATTGCTGGATGTGACCCAAAAAGAAAAAAAATAGGGGTACCAGTGGTATCTAATGGGAGATCTGAGATGTTTCTAGGCACCCTAAGCATAGACACACACACACACACACACACGCACACACACAGATTGTTTGGTCCATGTCACTGATTCAGCCACAGCCGAGAAGCCCTACTGCAGAGCGCCCTCTCTGAGCTCCCCAGATGGGTTCCACCTGACCTGTGAAAGCAGGAGCCTTTTCACAGAGTTCACTGGACATTCCACAGCCAGATCTGTCTTCAGGAAGGGGGGCAGGCAGGCGAGTAAGACGGGAGAAATTCCTCACTGGTCTTGGTGGGGTGGGGAAGAGAGATCATTAAAAGGCAGCACCTGCTGGGTAAGCTCTTCGCTCTCCCTGGGGCCAGCCCTGAGGCGGCAGCAGGCAGCAGCGGAGACTCACAGGTCAGTGCAAACTGCCCGGGCTTTGGTCTCTCAATTCAAACTTCTGCTGATCCATCCAATTTCCCCATCTCACTTAAGCCCAACTTCTGCTCATCTAATCCATGGGAGAGCGATAACTTTTTTTTCCTGCCTAGACTAGCTGATTTGATTTTTTTTTTTATTCCATCCACGTCAATTTGATTTAAAGATGATGTGTCCGTTCTCCAGTTCCAGTGTCACTAAAATTTTCACCCACATTGGATAGAGACAAATTTTATGATGAGCACCTTGGCGTTTTGCGGACCCAATTATCTCCCCTACATGAGTACCTGTTCCTTGAATGCTGAGGCCCTACTTGGCTGTGATTATTTCCTGAACCCACTTCTTTTGGTCTATTAAAATTTGCTAAGGGTAGAAAAGAATACAAGCACGTCTAATCAATCTTGTCGGGGTAGAGGGGAGGTAGAAATAGAATTTTTAGTTTTGCTTTATCATTGCTATAGAGCTAACAGTGGAGAAATAATTTTTGTTTTCAGGAATTTGGGGGTTTGGGGAATCTAGTCCAGACCCCAGGTCCTGCCTCTGTCTGATTTGGAGTTGGGCTGCCTGGGGGAGTCTGTTTCACTGGGAGAGAAGGCAGGCAGAATAGAGAAGGGATCACTAAGTCAATGAGGTTGGAGGAATTGTTTGGGATGGGAGATGTGTGCTGAAAGTAGATAACAAACCAAACATGATAACCTCTAGTATCTGGATTGCAAGTCATAATGCCGAAAAGTAGGGAGTGAGTATGGGGGAAATTGTCTGCCATGGAGGTAGGGGGAAGGTTAGAAAGGGGTGGGAGGAGTATACTGGGGATATTGGTGATGGAGAATGTGCACTGTTGAAGGGATGGGTGTTTGATCATTGTATGACTGAAACTCAAACATGAAAGCTTGTAACTATCTTACGTTGGTTTAATAATAATAATAATAATAATAATAATAATAATAAAGGTGGATTCCAGCAGGCTGGAACGATAGCACAGCGGTAGGGCATTTGCCTTATGCACAGCCACCCCGGCCACGCCAGGTTCGATTCCTTCTCCCCTCTTGGAGAGCCCCGAGAGTATCTCGCCCACACGGCAAAGCCTGGCAAGCTACCCGTGACGCATTCAATATGCCAAAAACAGTAACAACAAGTCTCAAAATGGAGATGTTACTGGGCCCGCTCGAGCAAATCGATGAACAATGGGAGGACAGTGTGGACAGTGTGGGTTCCAGCAACCAGATCCCATTTGGGCTTCCTGGGAGAACCCCTCTGCTCCCCTTCTGCCCAGATCTCCTCCCCTAAGCCACTTAAACTCAAAGACATCACCCTCCAGGACCTGATGGCTTTCTTGTGGCTGTCATAGCGAAGGAAAGGAAGAAAACGAGACCCATTTCCAGATGTCTGCAGTGCGTAGACGAAGTAATCCATGTGCCTTGCTCCCTGGGCGTCCATCGACACAGTCCCTGTGACCCCTGCAAGCAGAGAGATGTAACAAGATAAACATGGCCCCAAGCACCAGCTGCTGACTCTTGGTGGCAGAATCTCCTGCCAGGGACCACCCAGAGCCATCCTCGGACATTGCCATTGTTAGGGGGATCAGTGAGAATCAAGGGCAAGAACAAAACAAGAGAGTTTAAAAGCAGTACTCTACTCTGATAGAGAAAGGAGCACCAAATAAAGCGTGTTGGGAGGATCCTCCCAGGATGGGAGAAGCATGCTGAAAGTAGACTATAGACCAAACATGATTGTCACTCAATGCCTCTTCTGCAAACCACAATACCCAAAAGGAGAGAGAGAACAAAGGGGAATGCCCTGCCACAGAGGCAGGGTGGGATGGGGGTGGGAGGGATACTGGGACCCATGGTGGTGAAAAATGGGCACTGGTGGAGGGATGCGTGTTTGATCACTGTACAGTTGAAACCCAAGCACAAAGATTTTTAAATCTACAACTGTACCTCATGGTGTTTCACTAACAAAAAATTTTTTTAAAAAAATGTAAATGATGGAGAATGGGCACTGGTGGAGGGATGGGTACTCGATCATTGTTTAACTGAAACCCAAGCACAAAAATTTGTAAGTTTACAACTGTACCTCATGGTGTTTCACTAATAAAAATTTTTTAAATAAATAAATAAATAAATAAATAAAAGCAGTGCTCTAGGGGCTGAAGGGCCACTTGGAAAAGCCAGGGGTATCCTATTAAGCCCACGCAGGGGTAGCCCAGCCTAGGAAGGAGCCGCAGAGAGAGTACAGCCACTAAGGTGCTATGCTTGCACACGGCCAAGGCAGGGTCCACCCTCTGTATCCCATATGGCCCCCCACCAGGAGTGACTCCTGAGCACAGAGCCAGGAACCCTGAAGTACACTTGGGTAGGACTCAAAAATAATAATAATAATACATAAATTAAAAGTTAAGGGGGGCAGGGCTCTCCTCATTACCACAACAAAGTAACAAAATGGCCCCTCAGAGCCCTCCCTAGACTTCCGCCTTGCTAGTCTTGAATCACTATCACCGGGATGGGAATTCAAGACAGGATGGGGAAGATCAAGACAATCAAGATGGGGAAGTGAGCGAGACCCCAGGGTGCAGGAGGCATATGCTGGAGCTTTGTTCCAGATGATTCCATTGGAAAAGGGTAGGGGAGCCACTCCTCAGGGGAGCAGGAGCTGAGGCCAGGGCTGCCTCTAACCAGGGAACCCCGGGCAGGCACTGACTCACACCAATCACCACTTAGGAAAGAGACTTTCTAGCACAAATGGGATTCTGTTCCTCTCTCCAAAAGGGTCTTTCCTGCTCACAGCTCCGTGGTCTGAAGGGACACTGAGTTCAGAAGGTGCGGCCGGCGTGAAGCCACTTACCCTGCAGCACTGTCCTACCAGAGGCCTTCAGGATGCTGACCACACGTCGCCCGTCTCTGAAATCCCCTCCGACCCTGGCCACCTGCCTCACGGCCTGGGCGTAGAGCAGCACTGCGTCGTGGAGGTAGGCTGAGAGAGGGCTCACCTGCAGGCAGGAGCACAGTCGGCCGCAGCTCAGGACTGGGGCTCTCTCCATCCTCCCACAGTGGGCCCAGCCTGTGCTCCAGCCCTCCCTCTCCCTCCACCACTGCAGCGTCCTCACAAGTTCCCAGAGGCTGGCTCTTAGGCCCTATTTTCCCACTTGGTTTGCCCGTTCTTTGTAGGGGGGTCTGGCTGTCTAGCCTGATTGGGATTTTGGGGGGAGTATAAAGTGAAAACAGCTCCGGCCTCACTGTCTGTGCTACATGCAGCAAGTCCCATGACCTCTCTAACCCCAGCTCTGCTAATCGGGACCCGGTGGTAGAGGAGAGTGAAATGAGACCGAATAAAGCGCCTCCCCACAGAGCGAGTCAGCAGGAACTTGGCCTTTCATACATATTATCGTCTATTTATTGAGTCAACAACAACAACAAAAAAAAATCCAAGGGTTTGCTCAGCGCTTAGCTCTGTTCTCCTTACAGGACACAGTTCCAAGCCGACATGTACAGTTGGCTCCCAGCTGTTCATTGATCACCTCTCCTGTGTGGTGACTGGGCTGGGGTCCACGTCTGACTCCTCTGTTCTGAAGAGAATGTCCCATAGCCAGTGGACTGCATCACCTGTGCTTCATGGTTAGAATCACTCCAGGAACAAGTCCCGACCCTGGAGAGGGGTCTCTCTCTCTCTAGAAACATTTTTGTGGGGACCAGTCCTCCAGCCCCCATGGGTCGGCCCCTACAGGGGTGACTGCTGACAAATCAGCTGGCTCCTGCCTGTCTCCTCCCTGTGTCCAGCCCCCTGCTTGCCGACACCTGTCCTGAGCCTGCAGCTCCAACTCTGGCTCTTGGTCCCAGCCCCCTGCAAGAAGGGAGACAGTCCAGGCCTCTGCCTTTCTGCATCCACATCACCCTATCCCTACCAGGTGAAGACACTGAGGAGTTGGGAAATTAAACCTTTCCCTTCAAGAACTCAGGGTTCTATTCCAAAGGCCAGGTGGCCTCTCTATCCATCATCTGTGTCCTCTGGGTTCTGCGGTGCTGACACTACAAGAGAGCATTCACATTCTCTGTAGTTGGGGCTGCAGAAGATGGGGCGTGAGTGCCTGTCACGGAAATACTTGATCATGCTGTTCTGCAGCCTTCATTGAGACTATATTGGGAACACATGGAGAGAATGGGTTTCTGCTATTCTCTGTGAAAGCTGACTGAATTCATCGCAGCTGGGAGGAAGGGGGAGGAGAAAGGGAAGGGGGAGAGATTTGGAAGTCAAGCACAAAGAGTTTTCCAGGTTGGGGGCGGGGGCAAGGATGGGAAAAGGGGGCGGGGCTCAGTCTCAGACCTGCTCCTCTGTGGTAATGGAGCTGTGGAAAGGCGGCTGCCTCAGTGCTTGGTAGACTTGTTTCCAGAAGTTTCCATGAGTAGGGTCTTCTGTGTAGGTGCTGAGGGCGATGAGAAACACAGACTCATAGACCTGGGGGAAGTGCCTCATTGTCTCACTTGTCAACATCGCCTTCCAGAAATTGTCCTACAAAGCGAAGAATGCACAGAGCCATTCTGTAAGAGTCAAACTGCACAGGAGCCCTCCACAACCAGTGACAGGCTTGCCACCCCATGTACTGGTCCTCAGACACACAGTGACCGCCCCCCCCCCAGAGGCCCAGTGGTCTCGCAGGCATTGAAGCCTTAGGAAGAAGCCAGATGGGGCCAGAGCGATAGTACAGTGAGGAAGGTGTCTGCCTTGCACATGCCCCATCCCCTGTATCCCATCTGGTCTACTGAGCACCACCAGGAGTAATTCTTGAGTTCAGAGCCAGGAGAAACCCTTGAGCATCACCATGTGTGATGAACCCTTGACCCCAAAAAAGCCAGAAGGAGGAGGAGGAGGAGGAGGAGGAGGAGGAGGAAGAGGAGGAGGAGGAGGGGGAGGAGGAGGAGGAGGGGGGAGGAGGAGGGGGGGAGGAGGAGGAGGAAGAGGAGGAGGAGGAGGAGGAGGAAGAGGAGGAGGAGGAGGGGGAGGAGGAGGAGGAGGGGGGAGGAGGAGGGGGGAAGGAGGAGGAGGAGGAGGAGGAGGAGGGGGAGGATGAGGAGGAAGAGGAGGAGGAGGAGGAGGAGGAGCCAGGAAACAACAACAAAAATAAACTTCTGAGGAACATCAAGTTCTTTTTTCTTTTTCTCTTGTGTTTTTTCTTTTCCAACCTGTTCCAGGAGTCAAACCCAGGTTCTCATGTATGAAAGGCCTGAGCTTTACTCCTGAGCCACATTCCTCATCCTGAGCAGCTGGCTGTTTTTACAGTTATTGGCACAAAGCTCCAAAAATTTATGACTATTGATTCTCGGTCTTCTGCTTCTGGCATTAAAACATCTGTCACTGTCATGATTATACCATTAGTGGTGCAAAGTGGTACCCGCTCATCTTATGTAGGTCTGTGAGAGACAATTAAACTATTCCCAATTTTCGTAATCTCCCTCCTCTCCTCTCTGAGAGGCGTCCAAGTAATCAGTAATGGGGAACAGAGGAGGGAGAAGGGTCATGGGAGAGGTGAGTGTGAGTGCATTTTACATACATGTATCATAATAATGCTATTCTGCAGCTCGATTTTTTTTTCTACTTAATCCTACATTGGCAACTCTTTTATAGGAAGGTTTTCTGTGATTCTTTTTTAAAGTAACATGAATGCAACCGCTTCGTTGGATCATGTGTTATATTCCAATGGAATAGTCTTTCTGCTGCTAAGAACAGATTTCAATCACCGAAGTTTGGAGAAGAAACAAGTGGGAGTTTGCTGAGTTTTCCTGTCAAGAGCCCATCCAGGTTCTTCTCTTCCCCTCCACCTGAATGCAGAGCTGAGAGGTGATGACAAAGGGGTAGATGGGCAGTGAAAAGGGAAGGCAGGAGAATCATCTGGAAAGTTTGTCGTGTATTTAAAATTCCTGCTGGCTCCAGGAAATCTAAGACATTTCAAGCAATCTGAAACACTTGAGTGATAAACTAAATTGAGAACACTGTACAAATTCTACTTCCCTTTACTCCATTTTGGCTTCTTACAACCCTATAAAAAAAATCTCCTTTAATAAAGAAAAACCTCTAGAAAAAGTATGCAGAGCTAAATACAAGTGGCAACGCTTGGAACCTGCTGGTTTTATGTGGTGCACAAACTAAGACCAGCCCAAACCACCCCCCATCCCTCACCACACACACACACACACACACCTATGGTAGAATGCTAGTGCTCCAACATGCTGGTCCCCTGGCCTTGAAAAAAATTGTTTCCCCATGTAGAGATGCAGAGTCTTAAGTTCCTCATCTGTAAAATGAGGAAAATAACTGTCTTTACTACACAGTGGTATCAGCAGAAATGAGACCAAGTGCTCACCTTGGGGCCTGGCAGTCCCATAAACTCACCAGGACGTAGAGTTGCTGAGAATGAGGGTCAGTTCCCGAGTCCTCAAAACTTTGTTTGGAAAACAAGTGAGGCCCCAAGAGCTCTGGGAACTTGTTAAAACACCCTATATCCTGAGCCCCCCAGTTTCACTTGGAAGCTGAAACACTATGATACCTGCAGGACTGTGGGAAATCCCCAGTGCAGTGGCTCAGGTAATTCATGCGCAGAACATCCACCTTACAGGACACACCATGCAGTGAAACTGGTCAAATGTGCATGCCATTCCTAACGGGGCTATGTGCTACCTTCTAGCATTCCTTGAAGTACCGGAAGAGCCCAGAGACCTGAGAACTGACTTATTGACCCCCAGATGGTGCTCACTCCAGGCCTCCTGAGGTCTTACTAGGACACAGGGTGGTGGTGAGACCCCTGTGTTTCAGAGTCCTTTGGGGTTGTCTCGATACCTGGTGAAAAGGCCAGTTCTTCCATAGATCAGATCAGGCCCTTCATTCCAGAGAGCCAGACACCAGGGCCAGCTAATTCACTTCAAGGCCTGGCTCACTGATCATTCTCTGTGCGGGAAAGCTCTTGTAGGTTCCTGTCAATCATTGTGTTCTTTTCTTTTTTTTTTTTAATTTTTGGGTCATACCCAATGATGCTCAGGGGTTACTCCTGGCTCTGCACTCAGAAATTACTCCTAGTGGTGCTCAGGGGACCATTTGGGATGCTGGGGATCAAACCCAGGTCAGTGTGTGCAAGGCAAACGTTCTCCCCTCTGGACTATCTCTCCGGCCCCGATCATTGTGTTCTGATCTTAAGATGAGGACACCAACCTCCCAGGGCCTCTATGGTGTCCAGTGAGCTGTTCCTACCCCAAAGCAAGTGCTCCAGCCTTTCACCTCTGTCACCCATGAGGGGTAATTGGCACCCACCTCCCACTGCTGCAGAATGATGAAGACAAAATCTCCTGTGTTGAGTCCGAGTGTCTCCGCAACCAGGAGAATAATCTTGGCATCCTCTGAGGTGCAGATTAAGATGATAACTATAAGAAGATCAACATAGTTAGCTGATTGGGCCTGCACGCACACATGCACATAGATACACATTCACACACTTTATAAGACCTGGCCTGAAGCCACTCCAAAGAAAACATGACCCTTTCCCTTCCTTGAGTGTGTTTTAGGAGCTAGGCATGCTTCTCTACTCACGGAGGGTGGCGGCTTGAACTAAGATAGCAATATATAAATGGGCAGCATCTGTCTGGAGTGAGCATTCCCACAGTTCTCTCACAAAGCACGAGTGGAAAGAGTTTGAGATCACTTCTGTGCGGCATGTCAGTGACTCAGACAACACATTGGTTTGCAACCCAAGGTGTACATCAGTTAGGCATCTGCAGAGGACTTGGAATCTGACTTTCTGAGTCAGGATAGGGAAGGAAAAAGGAGTTGGCCTTCATACGTTCCCATCCATCCATACCCAAGGGCATTCATTTTGAAGACTCATAAAATGATTTACAGGTGGTGGTGAGAGAGTGGGTGTTGGGCTCATACCTGGCAGTGTTCAAGGCCTAGCCCTGGATCTGTGCTCAGGGATCACTCTTAGCAGGATGTGGAGAACCATTTTTAGTGCCAGTAATCAAGACCCCAACATTTGTCCAAGGGAAGTGTCCTATCTGCTGTATTTTTGCCCTGACCCCAAGTTCTTTGTACTTTTAATCTGCTTTTCCTAGTTGTCTCAAACACAAGCCACATAAGACTTTTTCCTACTTACCCCTGGCAACTGATGACATGTTCCTGAGATTCTCTTGGAGGAGGGCTGGATCATTGCTGGTGTATCTTATGCGAGCAGTGATGGTGAAATGATCTTTGAGTTCATTCTCTACAGCCTGCCACAACTCGTCCACTCCATTCCAGGCAGAAACCCCACCAGGACCTCCAAACATTCCAATGTGTTCCCAGCCTAGGTGCTGAAGACTTTTCTGGAGCACCTCCCCAATGGCGTGCCTAGGTGGCACGAGTTTCACATAGGTGTCATACAAGAAGCCATTTTCCAGTTTTGCTGTTTGTCCAGCAAAATCAAACATGGGGATGTTCCATTCAGATGCCAGCAAACCAATAACCTTGAAGGGAACCAAAACACAAAAGTAGCACTGTAGCTCTGTTCTGTAGCACTGTTCTCCCATAACTCATCAATTTGCTCAAGTGGGCCCAGTAACGTCTCCATTGTGAGACTTGTTGTTACTGTGTTTGGCATATCAAATACGTCACGGGGAGCTTGCCAGGCTTTGCCGTGCGGGTGAGATACTCTCAGTAGCTTGTGGCTCTTCAAGAGGGGCAAAGGAACCGAACCCAGGTCAGCCAGGTCGGCCATGTGTAAGGCAAATGCCCTACCCGCTGTGCTATCGCTCCAGCCCCACAAAAGTAGGTGTTTCTATTATTGAGATCATGAGCATTCAAGTCTCATTGTAAAGTACCTGCATAATCTTTAAATCCAGTGAGTCTGTGGGTCATACTGGACCCGCTTCTTTGGAATGGAATATTGATATGAATGTCTTGGATCCATCAGGGGGATGCCAGGTGTCAGAGGAAACAATCACCATAAGAAGCATGTATTGACTTCTCCTAACTCTCCATTAAGAGCTTATATACCACCTCTGTCATTACAGTATTTCTGTGAGGTCAGTATTATCACCACCCTCAACTTATTCAAGAAAACAAAGGTAGGAGCATAGATCTTACCAAGCTAATAAATGGTGAATCAAGATTGGAATCAAGGCATTAGTCCCCAGAACAACATCCTTATTGCTACCACTCACCACTCACCTTTCAGATTTTTTTTGGTCCTTATTAATCTCTCTCTCTCTCTCTCTCTCTCTCTCTCTCTCTCTCTCTCTCTGTTAGAAATCTACTATTGTGGAGGTACTTGGGGGTTTGGGTCATATCTTCTGCGCAGGGATTACTTCTGGATCTGTGCTTGGGAATCATTCCAGACAGTGCTCGGTGCCAGATACCAAAACCAGAGTTAGCCTCAAGCAAAGCAAGTGCCTTAACCCCTGTACTATCTCTTCAGTCCCAATCCTTTCTGAGAAACTCTGAAGTTCTTGCTCTTAAAAGAGATTATGGTCTATGATAAGAGCTAAACCATAATAGCATTAGCATTAAGTATAGCATTCAGTAATCCTAAACAATAGATGTATAGAACTGAGAATAAAATGCCTGTCTTATCTGTAAATTGGGGACATAGAGGATGAAAGTCCCCCTTGATACTTGGGCTTGACTCTGAAGGATGGATAAAGTTTGAAATGCTAAAAACATGTCAAATGAGGATTTGAGAAGAGAACAAGATGTACATTCAAGTGAGAACTTAGCTCTCCAGCACCAAGAAAAGTACTGTAGTATTGAATGGGACGCAAGGTTCCCCTTCCACCCTAGGAATACCCATGTGCATGAACAAAGTGACTCCCACTAATGTTACAAATGCTAGTCAGTTCTTTTTTTTTTTTTTTCATTTTCTATCCTTGGTTTACTGCAATCAGTCATACTTTCTCTTTTCCCACTTATACCATTCCTAAATGGTGTGTTATAAACACCAATGGAAACCAACACCAATGAATCATATTTTCTATTTATAACTCAGAATTCATTTTTGTTTGCTCTGAGCCTTACGACTCCGTTTGAATAATATGAAAATAATGCAATAGCCTTGGATCCCAACAATCTATAGAACTCACTGAAGAACTTGTGAGTTCCCAGAAAGAACTTGTGAGTTCCTATTCTAATTACACGATCTATTTATCTCCGATAGCAATAGCACAGCGGGTAGGGCGTTTACCTTGCATGTTGAACCCAACCCGGGTTCAATTCCTCCACCCCTCTCAGAGAGCCCGACAAGCTACTGAGAGTATCTCACCCGCTCGGCAAAGCCTGGCAAGCTTCCCATGATGTATTCAATATGCCAAACACAGTAACAACAAAGTCTCACGATGGATATGTTATTGGTGCCCACTCGAGCTGATCGATTAACAATGGAAGGACAGTGCTACATTTATCCCCAAAGACCTACGTTCTTATTTATAATAATGCTTGCCAAAAAGATTATTAAAATCTGTCCCATTATCTTTACGATCACCTGGTCCAATGGAAACTCAGCCAAAGTTTCTAGAAGAAGGCTGGGTACTCTACCTCTAGAGCTTCTGGGCATGGGGGTCCAAATAGGGCAGAAATCTGTTCTCGTTGGACCTGCTTGGTGAAAATAGCAAGAGATTCCTTGGTGCTGCAGGCCGAATTCGTGTGCGTGAACTCCCAGCTGAAGTTTCCCAGGACCTCTGGCTCCGAGTTGATCTTGTCCAGAGCAATCTGGAGACCTGCACCCAGCCTCTGCACACTGAAAGGATGAGAGATGTTCCAGGGGGCCTGGAAGCCCACAGTGACCTGAGTTGCCTCAAGCCAAGCCAGGAGCATGCAAGCAAAGAGCATGAGAACTAGTTTTGGGTGGGTGGCATGGCACTGGCACCCCAAACAGAGCCCTGCTGGGCATGGGGCCCCAGCACCTGCCTGGGGAGCCATGGACGTGCCAATTGCTGCAGAACTCTGAGCATCTAAGCCTGACTATCCATGCCCAGACCCGCAGCTTCAGTGATAACACAGAGTTCCCCAAGGACAGCAACTTGCTTTCCAGTTCATGCGATTAATTAACCCAAACCTCCCCCTTTCAGTCTTCCCTAACGTAGCTAGAAGCAGCTGTTTTGCAGACAGAATTTAGGACAGGGAACCGGGCCCTGGTTGTTGATCCAGCAACATTCCAGAACCCAGCCAAACCCCACGGGCCTGGGTAAGTCACATAGAACCCATCCCCCTCCTCTGCTCCATGTCTGTTTCCTCACATCAAATCTGAGTCCTGGGAATGCTGCCAGGGTAAGCAGCTGGGCTGGGATTCTGATTCCACCACCTCTTGGTTGTTGAGTACTGCTCCCCTCGTCCTCTCTATGCTTTCATCTCCTGATAACATGGGCAGTAACTGCATAAATGGAGGGAAAACCACAATGGGATGTAACTGAAACTATAAAAGAATTTTTTCTAGAATAGGGAGCTCTGACAACTGATTCTTCTATGTATCTGTATCACCAGCAATTGGGGTTACAGGGAGAAGGTAAAGCTGTGCGAATACTGACACCTCCTCTTCCAAAGTTGGGCAAGGGCCTGAATGCAGCTGTGTTAAGGACATCACGGGAAGTAGGACATACAGTATCATTACATCCCAAGCACTCTTTCCATGTGAATAATGCCTCATTGGAACCCATCATGGGACACAGGACCCTGGAAAATGGTTGCTATTTCATGTCCAAGGAGGCAGCGAGCAGCATCAGATATGGGTATAAGGACACCCAAGCCTGCCTGCCCTGGGCTTGCATATGTCTGAAAGGGACTGGCCTGTCTCACTCATTCCAAATTGTGGATTTCAGATGAGTAGCTGGGGGTCCTCCAGGCTGATGATGGTTTTATTCTCTGATGATGGTTCAGAATACAGGTCCCAGGGTTTCATCCTGGAACTTTGATTAAATTTTTTATTGAAAGCTTTTGAAGTTCTAACTTAGGCAATAGGGTTATAATAGTGTTCAAGTTTATGGTATTAAAGTACAAAGTTACTGGCCCCCCCTCCCCCACCAAAGTTTCCATGACCCTCCACCTCATCTCCCATGTCACCTCTAGGCCAGCCTTCCTTCCTGGGTTTGCTATCTACCATTCCTTCCCTTAGTACCACCCATGTGCTCCAGAGCCTCCACCAAGGTTCCCATGTGACTTCCAGTCAACCTCTTTGCTCCCCTTCCCCTCTAACCTGTCACTCTCGGGTCTGTAAACAGCTTCCAGCTTTATTATTGATTGATATTATCTATATTCTTGAATGGTTTCTCTATAAACCACAGTTGAGTGTGATCATCCTATGTCCTTCTGCCCTTATTAGATAACAACTGATGTATGAAAGACAAAGGGGAAAAGAATTTAAAGCCAACTTTCCCCCTTTTGGGGGGTGGGGGGGGGGAGAAGTAAGTTAAGTATGGTTCATTTTGTAGGGAGTTTACAGGGAAAAAAACCCACTAGGTTTTTTGTGTTATGTATCACTGTATCACTGTCATCCCATTGTTCATTGATTTGCTCAAGCAGGCACCAGTAACATCTTCATTTGTCCCAGTCTGAGATTTTAGCAGCCTCTCCTTACTCGCCCTTCTCAATGGTGCCGTATTGGAGCCTCTTTCAGGGTCAGAGGAATGAGACCCATTATTGTTACTGTTTTTGGCATATTAAATATGCCATGGGGCACTTGTCAGGTTCTGCCGTGCGGTTGGGATAATCTCCGTAGCTTGCCAGGCTCTCCGAGAGAGACAGAGAATGTATATAAAAGAATACAAGCAAGTATGTCAAAACCAAACACCTGTGTGCTGCTTTAGGTACATCAGTGGGGTAGACTATCTGGGCTAGATAGTGTGTTATTTAGCACTGTTGCACTGTCCTCCCCTTGTTCATCTAGTTGCTGAGTGGGCCCAGTAACGTCACCATTGTGAGACTTGTTGTTACTGTGTTTGGCATATCGAATACGTCACGGGGAGCTTGCCAGGCTTTGCTGTGCGGCGAGATACTCTCGGTAGCTTGCTGGGCTCTCCGAGAGGGGTGGAGTAATCAAAACTGGCCGGGCCAGGCTGGCCACGCACAAGGCAAACGCCCTACCACTGTGCTATCGCTGTGTTATGTATCAAATCAAATATCAGAGGATTTCCATTTTTTTTTCCCCAGAGACATCTTATTTATTGAACCCAGTTAATCTTGCATCCCTACTTAGTTTACTTGGGACCTTTTAGGTTAGATATTTCACCATATGCCCAGGTGTCACCCCTTTGTCTTAGTCTCCTATGATCCCGGGGTCTAGGGCTGAGTTTGTGGTCTTGAAAATTGTCAACTACGGAGTCACTGTGAGGTCATATAGTGAGGAGCACAAAACAACACACAAGAGAGTGAATCAGCACACATGTAAAGTGCTCTAAGCTCCTGTTAGAAATGCCCCAGCAAACACTGCACATCTCTTCTTTCCTCTGATAAGCTCCTTCTAGTTGGTACTTGGCTCTGGATCCCTTTCGATGACCTGAGAACCTCAGCCTGGCATCTTGTTCCCCAGTGGCACCTCCTATCTGTCATTAGGAATGCAGACTTCTAACCATCAGGAGTACAAATATTCTTTATTGGGCAGCGGGGGGGTGGGGGGGGGCACGCCTTAGCAGTGCTCAAGGTCCAGGGTCCACTCCTGGCTCTACACTCAGGAATCACTCCTGGAGGTGCTGGGTAAGCTGGGTATTGAACCCAGGTTGGTCACCTACAAGACAAGCATCCAATATGCTGGGCCTTTTCCTCCTTGGCTATCTTTCACCCATGGTGGAAGTTCAAACTCATGTGATCCAGATTTGTTTCTCTCAATAAGGTCAGGCCACCGCTTTACAAATCCATGTGAATATTTCTACTGCCCCAGGAGTATAAATATTCTTGCCTCCAGTTGTCCTTGCTTGGCCATTAGAGGTGCAGAACTTGGCTCCTGTCAGTGGGAGGCACCCTTTCACCCTGACTTCCTCTCTCCCTGCAGACAATCTGACAAGAGGGTGGGTCCTGGCTGCTAGATTTATGGTTTTATCAACCCAGCTGCAGCCTGGGGGCACTTGGTGGATAGTACTCAGATATGTAACCCTGGAGAAAGTCAGATAAATGCACTGTATCCAGGTGCTAAGGCTTTCCTCATTTGTCTAGCATTATCCAGTTGCCCTTCCCACCCACTACCCACCCACCCCACTCCCATCATTCTTTTACCTCACTTATTGAAAGCTTTTGAAGTTCTGGCTTATCTAATAGGGTTAAAATGGTGTTCAAGTTTATGGAGTTAACATACAACATTAATGCCCTGTCTCCCTCCACCTCAGCCCCTGGGCCACAGCAAAGCTGTGACCTGACCTCACTGAGAGAAAAAAATCTGAAGATCTGGAACTCATGAGTTCAAACTTCCACCATGGGTGAAAGCCAACAAAAGAAGAAAAAGTGGCCCTCTTTGTGGCCAACTCAGACGGCGAGATGGAGCTGTGAGACAGGGGCCAGGCCAACTCCCCTCCAGCCTGAGGATGGGGGGCGGGGGGGGGTTCGGGAAAGGCTGGAGACTTCACCGAGGTGGGAAGACGCTCTGTTTCTTGTGAAGTGGAGCTGAAGAGCAGGGCAGGGGCGATGGTCGTGCAGCCTCATGGCCTCACCCATTAGGACACCAATGTGTTCAAGAACCAGCCACACTCTCCAGGCTGGTCTTGAGAGCAGGTTCCTAGAGGGAACGTTCCTCAAGGTCAAGCATGCCTTGGATGCATGTTCCCAGAAACAAGTGCAATTCAAAGGTGACTATCTCCTGTCTGGGTGTGATCTTCCATTCCCTTGTATCAGCTCCTGCAAAGAGTTGGGGAGCTGTCCCTGAGTCAGACACTGAGTCAGGGGGAGCTCCTAGGAGAGTGGGTAAAGGTTGAATTGGGATGAAGGAGCACAAAGGTCTGAAATCAGCACGAAACAAAAGTCTGGATACGAAAGCCACTCCTTTGGCTAACCACACACACACACATCAGCTTCTAGAAGCTGAGGATGGGGGCCTGGCCTGCACTTGGAGTCCAGGATGTGACCATAAGGTTCACTCAGGGACACCCAATGGCGGCCAGCTGATGAAATCACCACACACTTTGTGAAATCAAAGATCACCCTGTGGGGCTGAAGCGATAATTCAGTGGAGAGGGCGTTTACCTTGTATGTATGCAAGCCGCGTTCCATCCCTAGCATCCCCGATGGTTCCCCAGCACCACCAGGAGTACTTCCTGAGTGCAGAGCCAGGAGTAACCCCTAAGCATCACCTTCTGTGCTCCCCCCCAAAAATCACCATGTACCTCAGGCACTGAAGAGAGGGCTATCGGCCCACCCTGAACCTGCAAACCCCTGGACTATATCCCATGTTTACCCCAGGCTATATCTTTGTTACCTTTCCCTCTCAAGACAGCTTAAAAACCCCCTTAGTCTCTCCCAGGGATGGGTCTACTCTGAGTGTGGTTCCCCTGGGAGTGGACCCCAAATAAACTTCTATTTCTTCACTTGACTCGTCTCTGTCCTTCTGTCAGAGTCCCCAAGTCTGTCAATGACCATTGCTTTTGTCACTTTAGAGAAGAAAGCCATGCCTCAAGAGTCTGAGAGATGGTACATTGGATAAGACACTTACCTTATAATGTAGAAGACCCAGGTTCAATCCCCCCTCCCCCAAGCAGGAGTGATCCCTGAGCACAGTCTTGAACACTGCTTGGTGAGCCCCCCAACCCCCAATAGGAAAGAAAAGGAGATCCATCCCCCATGAGGTGTCTGTCCCTTAGTACTTTCAGCCACCCCTGCCCTGGTCCCTGCATGGCTAAAGGGGTCTTTCCTCTGGCGTCTGGCTGATACCTTCCCACCAAGAACAAACCCTTGATACCTGAGTAGCTGCTTTGGACAATCTGGGACTTCTCATCCACACTTGC